GAACCATGAAGGTTGCTTCATATTTATAACTGTGAATTCCTGTAATATATCAGCTCAACTCAAACTGCAAAACCACATGAAAAGAAACACTCAAAGTATTTACAGTAATTCTGTTAGATAAAAACATTTGAATTAAATTACAAATTATTAGTCAGGTTTGCCTTAGTCACCATGTGCATACACTCACATGATAGTTCAGCCATACAGTAGGAAGGTTATAACATGCACAGGCACACACACACACACACATACAGTACTTGTTCAGAGTAACTTTCTGGACAATACCATATTGGTGAAGGTCAGAGTGTAGATAGGAAAGCCCCTGCGATAAAGACTGGCACAACTTCAGTGACAACATCCAGCTGGTGATATGTTTATTCAGAAAGGAATGGAGAGATCCCTGAAATGAAGGGAAAACCAATTAGTCAGGTCTGACCACACTGGCTTCAAGTATACAAGACAGATTATTATCTAGATTCAAACTATGTAGCCTAATCTTATATGTATGATATCCTCCTTGTCTCAATGAGCTATGCAGACACTATAATCCAGAGGTCAGCGGGAGAATTGGGTACAGTTTCGTGGAAAATAACAGCAAAGTTATAGTCACAGTTTGTTTCTACACTTCACTGCCCCAATTTGTGCAACATGCTGTATGTAATTTCAGGAACAGGCTTGAATTGTTGCATCAGAAAATGACCAACTGAATCAAAGTAACTTGAAAATAACTTTTTGAATATTGGATGGTTGAATAGACACCGCCTCTACTCTCCTACACTATTCTCATTTATTTCCCCTAAGTTTTCCTTTGATGAATGGTTGCCACTTACGTGTTCAACAAATTGCAGGACAATGAGCCAACTGCTACTATCTAGGTTCCTCCCAGTGCCCAGGAAGTGAACAATCCCATCATGCTTCATCAGTGGTAACTCAAAAATTTCCTTCTCTGTTGTAAATTTATGTTTCCAGCATGCAGGGAAAACTTTCACAGCCACAACAGATCCCTGGTATTTTCCCTGCCAAACAGTTGCAAAATGCCCATTGGCCAAAATCTGAAAAAGATTTTATAAAGATCATTAACATGCAGATAAAAAAAACTATATCGCCTAACTGTATGATTTACCACTATTTTGCACACTGTTGATCATATAAAATAAATGCATTTAGTAGTTAAGCCTTACTTGCTGTAGTTCGATGTTGGCAGTGTCAATCTCCGAAAGGTCTGTTGTTTGGAAGAAACACGGTGGGGAGACACTGTAATCATCACGGCAGACTTGTAGCTTCTCTAACATAATAAAAGTATAAAAATCTTGAAATTAACACAAATTCTTTGAAAGTAATGTGTCTGTAGAATAAAATCACCATTCATTATATCCCACCAAATAGCCACAGAAAGGACACAGAAGTAAAGGAGAGCAGAGATAAACACCAAGGTCATTCCACCAGAGAGACTGAAACCATTCCAAGGACAAACAAAGGCAACGTGAGAACTCATTGAGTTTAAAAAATGTGGAAACATGGCTAAAAAGCCATTAACTATAATCCTTTGAAAAGCACTGATAGTATGATACAGCATAACACTATTTATTTAACTTTTTAAGAGAAACTATCATACATACATCTTTCTTACATCTTTCTGATCTGAATCCGGTTTGGGGCTGTTATATCAATGTCATCTTTCCAGAATGAACAGTATGTTGAAGCCAAATTTGTTATCAAAATATGGGGGAGCAGGCCACTCTAGTCCTCCTCTGTGTGTGCTTAGCTAGCACCTGCGAGCATCAGCTGTGGACTCCCACTGTAAAGATATCTTATTTCCATTCCCACGTTGTTAAAATAAGTTTCATATTTTTAGTTGGGTCCGAAGCTGATGATTTTTTAAACAAAAATATGTTATATTAAATATGAATGTTGTTGTGGCACACTGTCCACCATCTTCAGGAATTATTCCACTATGGGGATTCATCTACAGGGATATTTTCAAGACATTCTTTTGTCTTCAACAGGGAAATATATACAGTAACTGGCTTAGCAAGGATTTGTCTTCTGCAGGAGAATGGACAACCAAACTAAAATACATGCACAAAAAAAAAAAAAGGCTGAGGGGGAAAATGATGGGGAATAAATAAATGACCTGGCTTCCTTTTCCATTCTTACAATTGCATGTGTAATTTTTTTATATCTAATTAAAGAAACTGAAAATCAATAAACAACTGGTTAAATACAAAACACTTTTTGCTATTGTATCTAATAAGACAAATCGCATTATTAGCAATAACAATAAAAGTATTTGTTTTATCATGTAATTAATCATGTAAGTGATCCTTTGACAAGATCAGGTGTTAAGGCATATTACTATAATATTTCATACAGCAGTAACGTAAAATGATAAATGGTATGGACTGCACTTATATAGTGCTTTTCTACCTTACTGGACAAAGTGCTGAAAGTCAACAGTCAAATGATAAAACAGCCCCAGATTGAAACTGAACCTCCTATTCAAATGAATAGAATTAATACATTTATTGATGTTTAGTTGAACGCAAAAAGAGCCTTACTTTGTTTTGTAAAGAGACTCCTCAATTTGTGAGCAATGATCACAAATAAGAACAGGAGGAAAGTTCCAGTCAGAATTGCTGAAACAGTTTTCCAGATTTCACCTAAGAACAAAGGAAATAAGTTAATGATATGATAATGATTTTCTGTGAATGATAAATAACACCTGTTATAAGCCAGTTTATCAATTAAATGTTTAGCTATATTTAGAAATACATGTTCAACATCTCTACAAACTGATAGGAAGCATATAGGTCTTTATTTGTAAGAGTTAAATGAGTATAGCATATTAAAAATAATATAAATGGAAAGATAACATTAGCTTTGGTTTGATCTTTGTCAGTATAATCTTCTGTCAGATTTTCAAATTAAAGGAGAGTGGACTGTGGTTTATTTAGACTGGCACAAAAGTCTTTTAAAACCATAACATATTTTGAAATAACAGGAAAACACTCACTCTGGTCAAAATCATATGTTGTCAAAATATGGGTTGCCAGTGCAAGTGCAGTCAGGTTAGCAAATTTATTATTGTCATACCTCCAGAATAAAAGTAGGTGGGTCGAGGCTGTTCTGACTCTGGGGTCCAAGTGATGTTGCTGTTGCAAAGGTCTGTATTGCACACACATTTAAGGAAGGGGCCGATGAATTGTGTTTCTCCCATGCAGATTGCATTTGAGCAAGAGTTTTCAGCTATATCACACGCTGCAACCAAAAAATCAGTAATAAAATAAATTATTTAAAGAAAACGTAGTATGAGAGCCATACTGCAAATCCAATATATTTTTGTTACATATAACATAATATACAATACAATATAACCAATATCAGTCAGGGGCTCTGTGTTGTTCATTGGCTTGAGTCTTAAATTAGATTAGATTTTAGACTATTCAGTAAAATTAGTACAAAAATAGTAATGCCTCTAAAATGGTGCAATAACAATTCAGTTCAGATATCTACTGAGTTTTAAGGTTTCTTACCAAGGACGTCGACCTCTGGCTGGTCATTGACGATCTTATAAAAGCCAACACAGCAGTGGGTGTTCTCACAGACCTGCACTGACCCAGACACATTTCCGGCCATTTTGTATATTTTGTTCTGTGATGTCATTCTGAAGGCACACTTTCTCTTCTGAGGTAAAGACTGACTGGAGATGCATTCTAGGAAGAATAAGAAAGACAAATTGTTGTTATACTCTTATTTTTGTGCTGCAAATGTCTTTGTCAGTGGTTGACTGATCAGGCTCCTAGTGTCACGTTCCCCTGGCCCTCTTTAGCAAGACGAGGAAAATAAAGGTACATCTAAAGTCGATACATTTATTGGAACATTTATTTACACAAGCAAGTAACTGTGGCTGCACTGAGCTATAACAACTAGACTGCTGAACAGCCAAACTGAAATCTAACATTTTTTGTTTGTTTGTTTGTTTGTTTGTTTTGTAGATTTACAGATTGTTTTTATGTACACAGGCTAAATCAAGAAGATCATGTGCGTCTGACTCTTTAAAACACCCCTGCACGCAATTGTTTAGGCTATTGCTTTTACACATCCCTAACTCCAGAATTACTTCAAACATAGTTTCACTAAATTACCGTTAACTAGTTTGTTCACCGCAAGTACAAGTGACAGATGTTATATGAGCACTGTCATTAGAGGGCATAGGCTGGTAGCATATTTTTCTAGGAAAAAAGTAAAAAGAAAAAAAAATATTCATAACTACACTTTCCCTGCATTAATAACATTGGTTCTCAGTTTGTACTGACAGTTAGCCTGCAGGAAGTTACTAAAAGCATTAAATGTTTTCATTTCCATTTGTGAGATGATAATAATGTTAGTTTCACACAACTACACCAAAAAAAAAAACAGAAGCACATACAATTTTAGAGCTTCAAATTAAGGAGTTTTTATTTTAACTTACCCACAGCCAGAATCAGCCACCAGTGTTGCAGATTCATGATCAATTGGAGTCCAGACTGACTAAGCATGGAATGGGCAGGCAAACTTTTATCAGCCTCAGGAATGTGAGAGGAGTTTCCCACGTTTCCCAGCATCACTCCCACACCTGCATGCGCTGCTTGTCTGCTAAACAATGGGCTATGGGAACACAACATTTATCAACATATTCATCTCCCTCTGTTAAGGAATAGCAAACGAGGTGTTGTCTGCTGCTGTCTCAGTTCTTAAGGATCACTGATGAAAGAAGAGGAGCAGAGAGCTTTCAGACAAATTCATTGGAAGCACTAAATGGTATTTAGCACTGTGTCGTCAACAATAAAGCCTCCACAGATAGCAGACCAACACTAAATCAGCACTGAAACATCCATGAAAATATAACTGAATCAGCAATGAAATTTTACATTGATTTTCATCAGGTCTGCACCTTGAAATGTTATTTCATGATGAAAAGTAGATCAAGAAGGGCATAAAATCACTATTTGTTCAACTCTAAATCAATTGCTATTTAATAGTGAATCAACATTGAAACAATATCAATTAAAATCAACCCTGCTTTATGTACAGTTATTAAAGTTATTACATATTTATTTCCTGCAGGAAGGAGGTTTCTCTGAACAGAGTGTCGAGACCACACGGGGCTGAAATTTAAATGCTTATTTGTCTTAAACCATTTTGCTCTTTGGATTATGACTTGAGACTGGAGTTTATAAAGTGACAGACCTAGGCTGTGTTTTTACACAAAATCACTGTCTATCAAATTATCTTCAAAGCCTAAAATAATGTTTCTTCCCTGTAGATGAATCCTGTTGTGGAAAAATATCTTTTAAACCTCAGTGAGTGTAAAATAAATACTTAACATCAATTATTAAAGTTATTACATATTTATTTCCTGCAGGAAGGAGGTTTCTCTGAACAGAGTGTCTAATACCATCTGTTACAGGGAAGCTCAATGGACAGAGTGTATGAGTCCTTCTTATACTCAGCCTACAACAAAAACAGATGCTCAGACAGATAGAGGAAACAGGATACAATTCACAACAGGATACCAGCCCTTTGCTCCCAGGTCACATCTAGTTTGGCAACCACAAGGACATACAAAGGTTTACGACCATGCAATAAACGGTCTGGGGTCACAACCACACAAATGACTGCATACTGACATATGACATGCCATTATAAATACTGGCACCACAATCCTTAGTCCAGATTATGTGCAAATTATCTTGGTATAGATGGAATGGAGGAACAAATGAGAAATATTTTCTCTTACCAGACCAGTCTAAACTTTTCTAATCCACCTTTCACTGGGTATATCTGGTGCAAGACTTTAAAAGATAGTTATTTTTTTAAATGATACAGTATTTATCACCAACCATCCATATTTTTTGTCAATTTAATCCTTCATAGATGATCAAACAATTTCTGGGGACCACACCAGAGTCTACATTAATATCTCTTCAAAAATATTTGTTTCTGCAAAAAAAAAAAAACAACAACATTTATAATACCCCTATCAAACATTTCCTCTCAAAGATTTCTTCCTACACATAACATTCTGATTATTCCATATATACGTAGTATGTGGGGAAAAATATGGTTATAAGATAGTTTCCAAGAAAGTAGGGCTTGTTTGTGAAAATTTGAAAGTTTCACATGCATCGATCGAGGAGGAGGAGGAGGAGGAGGAAGAGGAGGAGGAAGAGAAGGAGAAGGAGAAGACTTATCTAAAGAAGAGGAAGGAGAAAAAGAAAAAAAGGAAGAAGAAGAAGAAGAAGAAGAAGAAGGAGAAGGAGAAGAAGAAGAAGAAGAAGAAGAAGAAGGAGAAGGAGGAGAAGAAGAAGAAGGAGAAGGAGGAGAAGAAGAAGAAGAAGAAGAAGATTCACGTAATTTCCAAGCACACTAATTGAGCAGGTGCGCGTGGGCTGGGAGAGCTAAATTTAAGAAGAAGCTAACTAGTTGCTTACTTGTTTACAGTATATGTTAGTCACTAATAAAACGGCATAATAACCTGTTAATGCTTAATTGTTACGGTTAATATGCATTACATGTTAATTTAACGTTTCAAGCTAATGTTGTTGAGAAATCTTCCTTTACACAGCTGTTTTCGGAATGCAGTCCCATTCCAAGGAGCTAGCTAGTGTTTTTGCCGAGAGCTCTGAAAGTGACACAACATTTTATGGCTTTTCTGATGGTGAACTCGACGATAAGGTATGTTTATTAGTACGGACCCTATTCGTGGTTTATTTGCTTCAATTAGGGTCCAGGTTTCAAGATGCAACGTAGAACATGAGCAAGAAACAAGGAGTCTTAGATTGAATTGCATTGGACATTTAGTCTAATTGTTTTATGAGAGTTTATAAGGCTGAGAGTTTATAAAACAGTTTTTACTAAGCCAAAACACACTGTGCTGCCTACAGGAGGTTAGGGGGAAAACATTTACGACTGTCATGCATGAGATGAGTTTTTAATTTGAGTTAAATCGAAATCCGTCAGATTTTTGCATTTTATAAGGCCTTTTGGCAAAAGCCAGTTAAATCGAAATCCGTCAGATTTTTGCATTTTATAAGGCCGTTTGGCAAAAGCCTATCAGTTCTAGTCTGAAAACAGTGGTGTAATTTATATATATTTATTAATATTTATATTATCAGAATTCAATTTTTGAAGATGAAGACCAGCCTGGTGTTTCCCCGAAGGAACAGAAAGCCACATCTAAAGCATCTAGTGCTGCCCAACCCTTCAAGCTGAGGGTGGCTCTCCGCTCCACTCCCTTTACCCAGCAGTCCACTGATGATGAGGATCCGGAGGGTGAAGTAAAGAGGATAATAAACAGAGGGATGAGGCAGACAGGAAGGAGCAGTCCGGCAAAGGAGAAGAGACATGTTAAATTTGAAGATGAGGAGACAGCAGTTACTTGGCTGTCTCCTTCTGAGGAGTCTGGATCTGATTCAGCAGAAGACTCGACCGGTTCTTTCTTAGCCAAGAGAGAGCAGAACATCAAGGCTAACAAGGCGATGGTAAACCAGAAACACAGAACCATATACAGTACACAGCATTACACAGTAGATCCTTTTGACTTTTACTTGAGTCATGAATACACTAAATGACAAAAGTTCACTTCGACTTGAACCCCAGTGAATCGTACTTCACCAGAATTACTTGACATCCTCAAACTTCCAGTGCAGACCAGAAAACACAACCAATGATACCTGAGACTACATTACATTAAGGTCTAAAGGTTTTTAATCTTCACTCTTCCCTAAAAGTTGGCTCAGCTGATGGCAGACTTGCAGAAAATACCAGGAGGTGCAGGGTTTCTTAAAAAAAAGGAAGAAGACAAACAGAAGACAAAGGTGAGGAGCTCTGGGTAGAAGATGGGGAAAATGGCCTTGAACATTTTGGTGAAAGTCTAGAGTACACTTATGGTGAATCAACATAGGAGTAGCTACCATCTGGTTCTTTACAATTTCAGTATTTTAGTATTATTTTGTATAGTGTTTGTTTGTAGATTCAGGTACTCGAGAGCTTTTTATCTAACATATCTTGCAGCGTCCACCACGCTCTGTTGCAGCTGGAAGAGAGTCCAGGAGGAACCCAGAGCGAGCATCCCGCAGACGGACTCGTTCTATGGGTAGATGTGATGACTCTACAGGCCCTCTGGAGGAAAAACCTGAGCTCAGTTTGGAGGAGGAATTGTTGGAGGTCAGCTGGTCGTTCATATTGTATCAAGCCTATATGGTTTTAATTTGCATCTGTTTTATTCGGTTTATTATATATCTTTTATTGTTGTCACTCTCAGGAAAGAATCAAATAATTGAATGAAATTGCGACACTGCAAAAGTTTTTCAAGGCACTGTATAACATTCTGTAAGGTTAGGTCTGTGTGAAAGTTGTATTGACCCTATGAGCAACAGTATTCAAATATTCGCATAAGCTGAGTGTGTGTCAGAATAAAATGTATAAATATGTGTGTACTCTGTTTTTCTTATCTATTTAGTAATGTGCTGAGAGATGACCTTGTGATAAGTATGTGTTCAGCTAACCTAAGGAGCATCTTGCAAACCCTCAAGGTATTCATTATTTTTGTCTGTGTAAGGTACGCCGAGCCCCTCAGCACCGTGGTGCCCCACGGCCTAATCAGTCCAAACCTCATTTTATCCGTCTGGTGGAGGACATCACAGAGGATGAGCTTCAGCTGGTTGCAGATAACATGACTGATAAAGTCTACAACAGAGTCACAGTGAGTTCACAGCTAACCCTTCAGTTCTTTTGCTGTGTATATGGGAATGATACAATGCATTGTTGCCAACATCAGGTAAGTTTGTAGTGAAATCAGTCACAGCCACTAACACAATGTAACTGTCATCTTTGATTTCAAGTACTGAAACTCGAAAAACTAAAGTCACCAGGTGGTGAGCAGGGAGGCTTGATCTCTGCGTAAGACAATATTTAGAAGGTGTGATTTGACAGTAAATGCTCCAAAATGTGCTAAAAAGGTACTGGTCCACCTTCTGTTGTTGATGTTTCTTTGTGTATTTTCAGGGCTCCACATGTCATCAGTGCCGTCAGAAAACTGTTGACACTAAGACATGCTGCCGCAGTGAGACCTGTCGTGGGATTCAGGGTCAATTCTGTGGGCCATGCCTGAGGAACAGATACGGAGAAGATATCAAGAAAGCACTGCTTGATCCGGTCAGACAACTGATAGGATTCTCCTTGATGTAGTATGCTTGAATTGTATCTCGGTTGTATGTTGCTGTAGACAAAAGCGTCTTGCCGAATGTCAGTGTTAACTAAGCAACCCTGTAGGCAAAAATCAAGAGGAGCTGAAGCATATGTTTTGTAAAATAATTTTACTTCTTTACACTGTGATATTAGTTATTTTAACCATTTAGTAATCTCTTCAGAAGTGGAAGTGTCCTCCATGTCGAGGCATTTGCAACTGTAGCTTCTGCCGCCAGCGTGAGGGCCACTGCCCGACAGGGATCCTGTTTCCACTGGCTCAGTACTACGGCTTTTCGGATGTCCACTCCTACCTCAGCAGGTAGAGTATTGCACCATAACACTTAATTTAATAAAATCAGGTTTTCTCAAGTTGCTCATTAACTTTATGTTGGTGTTGCAGTAAATGATCAATTTTTTACAATGGAAACCACCCTGGGAGCCTGCCCAGGGTGGAGTTTCTGGAAAGGTCTCAGTGATTGTTGAAGCCTGTCAACTTAGCTGTGTGAAAACGTATTACACTACTGAAGTGTTGGAATAATACTAACAATGTATTATTTGTCTCCTTACAGCCTCCGCCACAAACTGAAGAGCGAGTATGATGATACAGAGATGTAACACTACGAGAGAAATTGTTTTACTTCCTTTGTGAATGTCTTAGTCCTGTCACTTTTTTAATGAAGTTTTTTTTTTTTTGATCTGCTTGTTGTCTGACACAATTTTGTGAATAAATGAGGAAAAAGTATATTCATAATTTTAATTCCACTGTTGGCATTTGCAGTAGTTGTATATACACACAGACACAATATAAAACCCCTTATTTAAAACAGAAAAAATAAGGGCACTTTTCTGAACTTAGACTACAGACTTTCAAAGGAGCATTTTTTTAAAACAAATTACAATTTAGTTTCTCAGCTTAATTCTGAAGCGGAAAAAAAAGTTCAATGATCAGATGCACAACTTTTCAGAAAAAGACTTAATCACTAAGTCACCCTTAATACAATTAACAACTTATCTGAACAACAAAAGGGATACATGTATGAGGTCAGCCTCAAGCTGGACCTTTTCCAGTTAGAACTTTAACATATGCATTACAAGAGTAAAAACTATTAGAATGTTTAAAGACCAAAGAAAGATTTCCTAGTTTATTATAAAATGAATATGAACCTTTGGTTTTGAGCTTACATGTTTATGCTGTCTGGACATTATTACAAAACACTTAACTCTGGCCAAATGACAATTTTTCACAGAAAATAGAAACTGATGCGACTGCAAGGAAAAAAAAAATCTGAAAGGTGTCAAAGAAAATGATGTATAGGAAGATCTGGACTGCATAGAAAACATTACTCTATGACAGAAAGGCTCTTAAGTGTATACATTTAATCTACACACACACACACACACATACATATATATAAAAGTAATATTACAATTGATTGTACATGAAAGGTTCATATAACTGAAAGGCAATCTGCTGTAATATTGTAAGACAAGCCTAAACTCAGGATTTGTCTTTACCAAAAATATATATTTATACATACAAAAAAAATCTAAATGTTTTTGCAGTGATAAGTGTATCAAAGCATAATGGCTTGACTGTGGTACCTACATACGAGGTTGGTTAGTTTGCCCCAGGATTTCAGTGTCCTGACACTTATGTCCTCACACTGATTAGTGCTTCTGACTCTGACCTCATGTATTCCAGCCCTCTTCTAAGCAGTCCACCCAAAAACACTTAACATGTTACTCCTATGGCACTGGGCTTTTTAGTTTGTTAACACATCCTGTCTATTCAGAATTTATTGCAGAAATATGAAAGCACATGTTTTTTTGTTTTTTTTTTACTAAAGATGGTTATATTTTAAATTCAGTGGGGGAATAAATTATTATGGCCTAATGCGGGTCAGTCCGCCTATTAGAGCAGCCTGGTGTGAGGGCATGAAAAACCTGAGGTGAAGAGGGACAAGTAGCAAAGCTATTCGGAGACGAGGGTGAGAGAATCTGATTTAGTGTCATCTCTGACTAAAGAAGCCTCTAGAGAATATTTCTAGCTACCAATTCATCAACTGTGCTGCTCTGTGTGTTTTATTGCAATCCCAATATCAAGTAAGATCTGGGTCTTTGGGACTAATGTTAGTGTAGTGCCAGTTCCTTTCAGGGGAAATAAGATTTCATGCCGTCATCCCTAATCTAAGAATTTAATCCATTTCATCCACCTCTGGTCATTAAATGCCAAGATATCTGAATACAAAATGGAAATCATATTCCTGCCTCTGTTAAATTCAATAGTCTGTTGCATTGCATCTTGACCACCTCTCCTGTCTGAAGTGTTTGAAAGGTTGTGCACCTGCAGTCAGACGGGCCCTTTTTAACCCCACATGTCCAAATGCCACTTCCACCAAGGTTGGCTTCCTGTTCCTCCACTGTCCTTAGTAGCTGTTGCCATTAATGTGCTGAAGATCCACCTGCATCATACTGATCCCACTGCTGGCTAATCGAGCAATGCTGTCTGCAGATAAGGTTTCCATGGTGACAATGGTGTGCTGGTCAGCGGCTGACACTGCTCCGGTGCCAGCTTCTGTTCCTGCTGCAGGGGACACGGTGTCAGTTGAGACCGTGGAGCTGCCGGTTGTGGCAGCTGTTGCTACTTTCTTGTTCAAGTGGGTCTTGATGTGCTTGGAGAGGTGATCGCTGCGCATGAAACGTTTAGGACACTCTGTGCAAAGGAACTTCTTCTCACCTGAAATGAGGGGAATAAAATAAATCAATGTTTAAAATTGTAAATTTGTGAAGAATCAATGCACTATAAAAAATAATCTTAGACAAAAGGTAGAGTTGGTGATCCTAGAAACCCCAGCAAGTGGACTCAGCAAAGCCGCTCCTCCAAACTACAATGCACGTTGCAACATGCACTGCCTGACTAGTATGTACAGATTTCAAAACACAGGCTTTATTCTGTTTTGGTAGCATGAACACTGCATGTTGCTTTTGATGCCCAGTTAACTGCATTATAGTCCACTTAGAGCTGACTACCATCTGGCTGCATGTAAGAGGATTCGGTTCCGTGCGGCCGTCTTGTCGCTCTCATACTGCATGCAGGTGGCAACAATGTTACCTATAAGGCTGTATGTTTTAAAGGGGAAGGCCTGGCCTGTAACAACGGTCTCTGTTTGAGAATGAAAGCTGTGCTAGATACCTTCTCTGCCATAGCTTGCTAGCTTTAGCCATAAAACAGAGCAGTAACATCTGCCTGCAACTGCAACACCTTGTGGGAGACTCATTGAGTGCACAGGCAGAGTGCACCCAAGTACGAAGTTAGGTTGACAGGCAAGTAGGCCCTCCAGTGGTTTTGCTTGGGTCGAAAATAAAATTCAGCCCTGCTGCCGCCACAGATGATGGAATTGTTTCTTTATGTTGTCAATGCATCTAATGCATTCATTGCCATTGAGATAAAAAAATTTAATTCAAGAAATACAACAAAAAAACTCTCTGAAAGGAACCGCAAACCCTACCTTTAAGATAATCTGAGACTCAAAAAAAGATTTTAAATGCTGCATCCTTTAATCTTTTTACATTACGTACTAGGAAATCATAGGTGTTAAAAATAACATTAGTGATGGCTCCAGTGTACCTGTGTGTGTCCTCTTATGACGCTGAAGTTCATCTGAACGGGTGAATCGTTTGCCACAGAAAGACCAGCCGCAAACAAAGGGTCGTTCTCCCGTGTGCCAGCGGAGGTGGGCCCTCAGATGGGATGTCTTTCCGTAGATCTTTCCACAGCCAGTAATGTGACAAATGTGCTGCTTCTTTTTATTTGGGTCACTGCTCAATGTAAAAAATAAATAAAACAGAGATGAGGATTGTTTCCAAGGAATATTCAGAGGTTCTCTGTGAGGAGACTATACAGTTAGCTGTAGGAATGTAATTTTTTAGCAGTTTGATTAATAAAAATACAGTAATCTATAATAAAACCATTTTAACCACCGATATACCCAGATTAGCCATAACATTATGACAGGAGCTATCAACAGTTACTCTGTCAATAACAACAGATCGGGGAGTGTTGATTGAGCTGGTTTCTAGCTATAAGTACTTAGGTTTTTTTACTTGATTGTGAGTTGTCTTTTAAAACCCACATTGCTAATGTGGTTCGAAAATTACGGGTGAAGATTGGATTCTTTTATCGTAATAAATCCTGCTTTTCCTTGCAAGCACGCAAATATTTAATATCAGCAACCTTTCTTCCCCTGTTGGATTATGGTGATGTACTGTATATGAATGCCTCAGCTAGATGTCTCCATTCTTTAAATGTGGTTTACCACAGTGCCTTGAGGTTTGTGACGGGTTGTAGTCGACTAACGCACCATTGCGACCTGTATGTTAAAGCACAGTGGTCGTCTCTGAGCATGCGAAGACATGTTCATTGGATGGTGCTAGTGTACAAGGCTTTGGTAGGCCTAGCTCCGGCATACTTATGCTCTCTTTTACGTAGATCGGATACCAAATATGCTTTACGGTCTTGTGATAAGTATCAGCTCATGGTGCCGAGAGTTCGGACCGAAAAAGGGAAACGGGCTTTTGGATTTGCCGCTCCCTCTTCGTGGAATAGTTTCCAAGCAGATTTTAAACTTACTGAATTATGCTCAGTTAAAGCTTTTTATTCTGGCCAGGTCACCCTTGTAAAAGAGATCGTGATCTCAATGGGTTTTTTTACCTGGTTAAATAAAGAGAAGTATGACCACTGATAGGTGAAGTGAATAACACTGAATATCTTGTTACAATGACACCGGTCAGTGTGTGGGCTATATTAGGCAGCAAGTGAACATTCAGTCTTCAAAGTTGATGTGTTGGAAACAGGAAAAACAGGCAATCTGAGTAACCAGACACAGACCAAATTGTAATGGCTAGATGACTGGGTCAGAGTATCCCCCAGACTGCAGGTCTTGTTCCCAGTCTGCAGTGATTAGTACCAACCAGCAGTGTCTAAGGAAGGACAGACAGTGACCTGACGACAGGGTCATGGATGCACTAGACTCACTGATGATGAGGTTGACCTAGTGTAAATTAAACTTTTAAACTTCATTCATCCTGTTCAAAAGATTCTATTTTGCTTGAAACTTTGTTAAAATGGGTGAAAATGAGAAATACTGTACATTGGTCTCTATGAAGAAAAACATTCAGTAGCTATAGTGGTGATATCACACCGAGTGGGGAGGCTGTTAAATTTGTTTAAGAATTCCCTATAATTTGTCCTCAGGACCAGTTTTCACTTCTTTTACATAAAATTTTCACTGAATAGTAAACAAATTTGTGCTTTTCCCGACAGTATAACTATAGAAGCACACGGATTCACAGAAGATGCACAATTTCTGAAAAAGTGACACTGCAGTATTCTTCTTTTCACAATATATATTGCAATAATAAAAAAAAAAATACAAGTATTTTTTCAAAATGAAATGACAAACTATTTGGAAGGAATTAATTACACTAGAATAACTAGGTTGATTATGTGGGGGAGTGCATTTATTTGCAACCAAATCTTCCTTTTGGTTGTTTGATTAAGAACGATTGTGATTGGTGGTTTCGCTGTAGCCTGAATGTCACTCACTAGCAACAAACTGTGTATCCAATAACCTTTAAATCAGAGTAAATTAGCCTGTTAGTTATATCTGACATCTTGTAGATTAGTCATGAAATACAAGAACCATCAAGTCTTACTTCTGTATCAACCAGCAAACAAAACTGTAGCATGATGTGTATGAGCTAATCTGCCTTATATCACATGATCTGTGATGTGACAATCGCTCACACGCACATTGTGATGATGATGCTAAAATGGAAAATTAAGCAATGCTGCCTGCTAACTTCCAGGCCTTCAAAAATAAACCACCTGTAACGTTTCTGAACAAACATGAAACAGGTTACCGCAGTCTCCACATAGTACACTCAGTTTAAAAGTTTGTATATACATGTATAGAGAGTAGGCTAGTGGTTAAGGAGCAGTGCTCTCGCCGCTGGGCCCCGGGTTCGAATCAAGGTTGCGTCAGGAAGGGCATCTGGCGTAAAACACATGCCAAATGTCAACATGTGAAACGTTAGTGTGACGATTCGCTGTGGCGACCCCTAAACGGGAAAAGCCGAAAGTGACTTTCATATACATGTATAGTGAGTGATTTGTACATTGTTCACTAGTTTACATTAGTGCAGCTACTGGAAACACCTGCTAAGCTGGGACAGATGTCCCAGGGATGTACAATACTGTTGTGTTTTTAGACGAAGAAATCTTTCAACATTTGCTGCCGGTAAAATGTATCTACATTCAAATGCAGGGCAGGGTCACTAGCAGCTGTGTGCATGCTATTTTTGTAGCGATTCTAATAAACCGCACTTTTCCTTTACTAACACTGATCATAAAATTATACTCTATCTTACATCTAAAAATGAGTTACAAACACCAGCATATCACAATAACAGAATGACACAATAAAAGAAGTTGCATTCTGAAAAAAAAATAATTAAGATGCCATATTAAATCACCATCACAGACAACATAATGTTTGGCCAAGACTGCGTGTCAAGATATGCGTCATAACATGTTTCAGTGACATACCGTCCTTCTCCGTCCTTGCAGAAAGGGCAAGTACAGGCTTCCCTCCGATTACGTCGTCCTTGTGGTGTTGGACTTATATCCTCATCATCCACAGCTGCGCTATCTTCCAAACTGTCTCCGCCTGTCTGTAATGCCTGCTCTCCTGCAGAGATAAAGTGGAATTTCTCAAGCCTGTTCCAATTTATACAATGGTTTGAGAACTTTTTGTTATTAGACATTTCATTATTCAAGTTCAGCACACACTACATAAAGTTTTTTTTAGCAATCCTGGGACATTGATTTGTTTGAATTTAAGAACATAATCATAATCAATAAAACCACAAGCATATGCAATAAAATGCCCTCAAGGCTTTCACTGCTAAGCTCAAGTAAATGTTACTTGTCAATAAACTGGCCATTCACTACTGCTGTAGTCCAAACACACACACACACACACACACACACACACACACAGATAAACTGTAGATAAGTGAGCAATTACTGTAAATATAATGGGAGGGACAGCCAGTGACAGAATTAAATAAAAGGGTTTAGGTGTGACAAAAGGCTGTTCTAAGGTTATGACAGATGCTGTGTGGCCAACTCATAACTACAGTACTGTAAAGTCACAATTTGTGAAGAGATGCAGGGGCAACAGGAAAACATAACTAAGGGAACACAAACACGTGCAGTACAATAAACAGGTCAAGAAACAATGGGCTAGCTGAACTGGTTAAACCAGTATAATGCCCTTCAAACACAAAGAGCAAAAAAGATCAAATCCATACATAAGGAATACTTTGCATTTCCAGGAAAAAACAGCACAAACTTCACTTTCAAGAAAAACTTAATATTTACTCACAAAAATGCCAACCATTCCACTGCTGTACAGACATTGTGAAGTACAGTTGCTTAATTTCAATTTTTAGTTTTATATTGTGTCTAAACCCCCCCCCCCCCCCAACCACCACACAAAAAACTCACACACAAATAAGGCCCTTCATCACACATGGAGCCACTGGAGTTCCCTGAATCACTACCGGCCCAAAATGTTTGAAACTGTTGACTTAATATAGTCTATGTTAATATACCACACTTAAAATATTATGTATACATTTTTTTACATATATTCCTGGAAAGCAGGCTACTGACTTACCTGTTGAGCCAGCAATGGCGATGGGGACACTCTGCAGCTGGTGCATTTGCAACCCAGAGCTTACAAGTGTGTTGAAATTGATGGTCTGAATACCCGGGATCTGCACTGTGTTGACAGATACTCCTCCAACGGCAGGAGCTCCCTGAGTCTGGCCAAGCTGCGGGAGAGGCTGCACTGGGGCCAGGGTGATCTGTGCACCTGGTGGACTCTGGATCTGAATGGTTTGCCAGCTTACCTGGCCATTGGGACCTACAGTGCGCAGAAGGAGGGAGCCTGTGTTTGGCATGATTTGAAGATTTTGAAGCCCTTCCTGGTTGAGCGTCGGAGCTGCAAAAACCTGACCACCTGCAGTTGTGACAGTACCGGCCTGGATGCTCTGGAGGGGTGTTCCACCCTGGATGACCTGCTGAGGTTGGATAAGGATCTGCTGTGACTGCTGCCCTTCTCTGTTGTCTGGCTGTATCGGGACACCAAGGGAAGTTGTGTTCTGCTGAAATGTCCCTGTCACCGCCCCATTGCTGTTCTGCGTTTGGGTTACTCCATAAGAAGAGGTCTGTGTGGTAACAGTGGACACACTTGTCATGTAACCTGCTCCGCTGTTGGAAGACACTGGCTGTTGTGAGTGTTGTTGCTGTATAAGTTGGTTTCCCCCTGTATCCACTCCACCATTTGCATCTCCCCCTGTTCCACTCGTTCCAGTACTGACAGGCAGCAAAGTTATGTTTCCATTTAGTGACACAGGCATATTTGCCAGGAACTGGGGCTGATTTTGTAACATGTTATTGCCTAAGCTTATATTTTGCAGGGGGATGGCTCCTGGAAGGAGACCGGGCATCGTTATGATGTTTCCTGCTGCACCAGCTCTGTTGGTTGCAGCTATTATCTGCTGGCCATTAGGAGAGGACACTATCTGAAACTGCTGCCCAGGTCCGGCTGCAGCAGGTACAGCAGAATCCTGCTGAGCATGTGTGAACTGCAGTGTCTGGCCATCTACTGTCTGAAACTGGGGAATAACCTGGTACTGAATATTGGGCATCACACCTGATATGGTAGTAAGCATCTGCTGACCCTGCATTGAAGGAGCCTGAGCTACTACATATTGCTGTGGCTGCTGCCCCTGAGTGCTTGCTGATGGCGACAGAATCTGTCTGGTCTTGCCTGCGTCTCCTGCCATTATCACCCCTGAGGCATCAGTAGTGATGGTGTTGGTGCCTGAGGATGCTTGAACGCTGAGAGGGACAACCTGCCAGCCGTTAGCACTGGTGGTGAAAACACCCTGGTTTATGTCCAGTTGTTGCTGCTGGTTTTGCTGCTGTTGGTCTGCAGGTGAATCATTCTCTCCTGGGGTGTCAATTCGACTGCATGTGGCTGCCAACAAGGCAAGAGGAGATGGCTGCTGTGAGTCCTAAATATGGAGTAAATTAAATTAAATAAAAGAAAGTGAGTGTAAAAAGTAAAAACACAATGTCACTATTAAACAGACATGTCAATACTGCAGCTGGGACAAAACATATAAATGGCTGTCAAATAGCCCACTTATAATTTGAGCAATTTTAAACTTACTGACAGTTCAAATAAGCTTATACAATCATGAAAACAACTACTTATAAAGCACTTCTGTAACATGGTACACAATATAGCTTTAAAACAGCAGAGTAAAATAGAATTTGGATATATAAAACAATATAATGCATGTGATAAAATAAAACTAAAAGTAAATTCCACAGTTACAGTAAAACGGACACAGCTATAATAGGACCTAATAAACCCGGAAGATAAAATATGTGATTAAGAAGAGATTTACAACGTTTATACACATCTTCACCATTTTAGAAAACATATGCCCAGTCATGTGATGGGATTTAGATTCGCATTCAACTTAAACAATTCCAATCTATGCATGCATACTGCAACTCTCCTAAAACTCAATTCATATCATTAAACCTACGTCTGCTATGTAGCCCTTCACAGGCAGTGGGCTGGAGTGATTAGTTAAGGAGGGGGGTAGGGGTAGTGGGAGAGTCCTCTGGCCACCCCCTCGAAGGCCAGCCAAATGGGACGAGCAAAATACACTTGAAGAGCTTGAGTTTGTCGGGAACACCCCGTGTGGGCGAAATTTACCTGCCCATTCCCCACCCCAGTGACATGTGCTTCGTAGAGAAAATCAACAACCCGTACAAGTTCCGACACAGATTGGTAACAGCTTCAAACCTAAGCAGAACAGATCCATATTAAGTTCTGTGAATCTGAATGGGAGGTTCTCGTTAAGATTTCCAAACTCACAGTCGTCCGATTTGACAAGCTAATACATCCAGTTAACCTACTTGAGAATTTGTGTTTCGCTTTTGAGCGAAGCCTCCACTGCTCTCCACAGCGGCCATTTCACCCTGCTGCTGATCTGCGGAAGAAGTTTTTAGATCAGTTCTTACAAAGCAGCTACTGTGAAACACCACACAAGAAGTCGGGTTAACGTTACACTCGACGGGCATTTCAAACGTATATACATTGTCCACCTCAAAAAAAAAGTTTAAGTGAAGATTTTCTCTAGTTAAACATGAATCAACTCAGACATGAAATCTATGCCACCAGTGCTTGAAGGGCCAGCTAGCTATTAGCTAAGCTAAAGAAAACTTACCACAAGTAACGTATGGTGATATAGAAATGTGCTAAGTGGTTTCAACTACACTACTCAATATATATATGTTAACTAGTTGTTTAGGAAAGTAGACCAAGATAAATTATTGTGTAAACTGGTAGTGTCAACTAAGAGCAAGTCGCGTTACTATAAACCTGTTAGCTAGCTGTACTTGGCTGGCTAAATATTGTTAGCTAACTACGGACAATTAGCATTTAAGTAGTTGAGCACTTTTAAACTGCTTGAGACACTAGCTAGAAAAGAATACAGTATCGTGTTTACAACAATGAATGCATTTAAAACAATGTGTTTTGATTTTCCTTCTAACTGTTAAATTAATGCCTTGTTCACATAATGACACTGAGTTTAAAAAGTTTACTTACTGCTCATAATTTCAAGACGGGAGGAGCTTCTCTGGTCTTTTTACGGGTTGACAACTTTTCACAACCTCACACAAACTTGACGAGCTCCCCCTATGAAGGAGAAACACTGGTGCGTTCGATATATGAATCTGTGCAGCCTGACAACTTCCTAATGCACGACCGTTCAGCAAATAGTTTACGACCTACACAGTTTAATGTGAACGTTAATGTTATAGCGTGACGAAATCTAAAATACCATTTAGATTAGGTAAAGATTTCCAGACAACCAAGGCATGATAAATCAAAGGCCATTGAAGTTGATTTAGATTCTTCACTCAAAAAGCTTCTTCATAACCAAAACAAGTCCAGTTCCTTATTTAGCACTCTGTGATTATTCAAGTTGATTTCCAGTTGCAGTTAATAGTCTGCTGCCAGTAATTAACATGGCACGACCCAAAACGCAAAAAAAGTATTCTAGTTATTAGGAATGTCCTTGTCATCCAATTTAAGTGGTTAACAATTTTGTAAAAGACATTCAATATTGAAAAATATCTTTCACTCTCTTACTTTATTTGACTATATTTCTAAACATTACCCGAAGATACTGGATGTTCTGCCATGTTTGACAAAGAAAAGAATAAAATCTTCACCTGTGAGAAGCTAGAAACTGAAAGTATTTGACATAATGGCTTAAAATGACTAAAATGATTGATGAGTTATTGAATTCAGTATCAATCAACTGATCATTGCACTTCTACATCTAGCTTTATTAGTTATACTTTTTTCAGAGGAAAGTAGGTTTACTGTGCCAGTCTCAACAGTAGACCGCATGTCAGAACGGGACTGCGTGTTGTTTGAAATTTATGTTTAATGATGCCTGAGAACACTGATATCGCACTATCCCAATGGATAAAAGAAACGTACGCATTTGAAAGCCACTTATGAAGTACTGCTGCTTTTCTCCAATGGAAAGAGTTGTTTCTGTCTACGAGTTTCTACTAGCCAATGTAAATGGGCCAAAGGCGGAGAATAAGGCGGGACCAAGCAGGGTAGGTTGCACCCCTAAGTCTGATTGATGTCGGGTTATCTGCTTTCCGCTTATAAGGCGCCATAAGTAGGAAATATGTTCAAGTAAATGTGGCTCCGTCTGCGAAATTGTCTTGTAATTGAATAGTTCAAGGATGGAGTTACTAATCTCTTCCTTTGATCACAGACGTGGGGAAGGACAAAGGCGGACTGGAGCATTTAAGTCTTGCCTCCGTGGCCACTGGCCACTCCCTGGTGGTGCCCTGTGGGTTGGGAAACTACAAGGAGGTGGGTGGAGGAGAAGAGGGTCCCCATCACACTCACACACTTGCTGTAGTCACTGGGAGGAGAAAATGGCTCACATGTGGGGAGGTGGGAGGGCTTTTATTATTGGGATGTGCGAGGGGGCTGTCAGTGAAGCAGCACATGTACCCATGTAAACAGGAGACATAGAGGGTGGAGTCCATCTCTAAGCCAGGCCTGCAGCAACCCAACTCTGAAGTGAAACCCTGAAGTTTCTTTAGTCTACTTCTGTTTGGGCTATTTATCCTATTTATTCCTTACACTTCCTCCACACAATCAGGCAGTATTGTTTCAATATGTGGCACCTGGCTCCCAGTTAGTATACCATGTTCTGTTCACACCCACAGATAGAAGGGTATATTGTTGTGTGTGTTTGTGACTGATTATCTGTAAAAGCTTAAAAGTATAAAAGCAAAAGTACTCATCATGCCTTTGTCAGTGCTTTATTACAATGCATTAATTTTAACAGATGTGTTATTATGTAACAAGAACTTTATTCCTAAAATTTTGAGGTGGAGCAGATTTCAACTACTTTATAGACCAATACATACTTAATACATAATGCATCATCTTTTGTAAGCTCATCGTGGATCTTATTTGTACAATCTTAACCTGCAAACAATTGTCAAAATAAATACAGTCAAGTAAAATGTATCATTTTTGCCTCTAAAAGTCAGAAGGATACAAACATTTTGCATCTATGCAAGTATACATTTGTATAGCAGTTTTAAAAGTCACCTTTTATAAATGGTTTATCAGTTATACCTAAATCTTCTAATATAAACAACCTATGAGAACAGTTTTCGAGTTTAGCAGATTGTGAAATCTGTCTGCCTTTGGAGCTGTTAATAAAAACAAGTTACCAATAGTCATCAATAAAGGAGTGAGATTAAATCAGCAGTTCACCACCAAACATTAGCCATATTATGTTAATAAGTCAAAAATGTTCATTTACAATTGCATACTAATCTGTTAAAAGAATACTTAAGATTCCCTGCAGTACTTTTGCAGAAGGTCAGAGGTCAAAGAAAGGGGTTTATTTGAGGAATTTTCATGATGAACTGAAGAATCAAACAAAGCTGCAGGAGGACGAGGACATTCGTTTTATTGGAAAGTAGCAAGTTCCTCTAAAACCTGGTTAACTTCTTCAAGTACAGGGTGGGCCATGGAAAAGTAGCCCCGAGCATGTGGATTCTTTGGGAGGCAGGCTACTTTTCTGTGGCCCACCCTGTACAACCCTACCACAAAAAAATCAGTCCGCTGCAGTCTTTAATGAAGCACAGTGAACTGAAAAATCCAAGAGGCCTCTTGGATGAGAGGTGAAACGTCTTCCACCTAAAGTCCAGTTGATTTTTTTCAGCTTACTATGACCTGGATGACTGAGAATCTGCACGGACATGAAGCACAGTGAGAGAAATAGAATTTCCAGTCAGCTCAGTAAACATCTCTCACATAATTTATTCATATTTTCACCTCTTGAATAGATTGTAAATACAAATTAAACATTTTTTTTATATCATTGCTATGGGGAATTGCTTTGCGGTCTATTCGAGGTTATAGTTTCCCCATCTCACAATTACCTGACTATTATGATTGGAATCATTTCTGCTGTGCAGTCAACCTTTACCGCTGACATTTCCAGCAGCCAGTTTCAGTCTGTCAGCCTTTGTTTCTGCAGGATGTGTCGCAGCTGCTTCCCACGCAGATAAAATTGTTGTATTTCAGATGAGATGCAAACTCACTTCCTACAGCCTGCTCAGACCCCGACCCCTATGATGATCCACGCAAATTCAAACTGACACATAGCTGGCATGTTTCACATGAAAGAACCAGAAGCTCTTAATCGTACATTAATCGTTTAAAAAGCCGAAGCCGACTGGATGTCGTTTAACAGTTTGCTGAAGAGCGCAGATAAGTTTCGCCCTGCAAGAACAGGAAGCGAGAGAAAGAGCGCCACTGACACAGAAGTGAAACCTGCGCCGGGGAAGGTACAGCTGCTGCTTTTCTTCTCTACACTTTGTTCACTATTTGACTTAGTGTAGGGGATTATACATATACAATATCTTCTTTAGGCAGCTAAAACGTAAGTTAACAGGTATTACAATCTGTAGACACCTTGCTATGGAGAAAGTCGCATCCATATGGATGACACAGTGGAAGACTTTTGTAATCATGAAAACCGTCCATGTTTTTCTAAAAGTTATCCTCATTATTACCATAATCAGTATAAATAATGTATATCCCGCATATCTGTTATGTTCTTCAAAACTAGCCTTTTATCTAAACTAAGGTGTTGTTTGATGGGGCTTCGCCTATGTATTAGAATTATAGTAAGTTAGGCATTATAAGTTTTTATTTAAATTCATTTAGATATAACTGTCACCCTTGTTTTTGTATCTGTTCATATGTACAGCATGCCTGCTTTTACTCTATGTCACCTTGCATAATTCTTTTATATGTACTGTACCTGTGTTATTGGTTTAAGCTGCTGTTTGCACATAATTTGAACATAGTCACTGTTTTATAATGTAGAAACAATATTTTATTTAGCTGCTTTTGTAGTTAAATGACTAATCAACTTGACTTGAATGATGAGATTCTTTTAGCATAGTGGTAGAGAATGTCAATCTGTCACTGGAGAGTCACACTATAGTCTGCTGTTTCAAAGACTTGTCAGACATTTCAGTTCATAATCCAAGTCATAAAAAGTCTGACTTTTAAACAAAGCATCTGTGGAAAAACTACAACATATTGTTAATATCTCATCTCTTGTGTCGCTGTAGCTTCAGTCCCACGATGTCATCCAGCTGCTGGTGAAGTGAAGGAATGGAGAGCCCGTCCTCCACAGCGAGGCGGCGCGCCTGGATCAACAGCAGTCGACAATGGCCCACCGTGGAGGAACTTGACCCCGAAGGGCCGTTGTGCAGCCTCCCGTCTGTCTCTATAGCAGATGATGATGTCTTTTCGGATGGTAAGTGCAAACTCAATAATGAAAGAATATGTGCAAAATTAGTACAAACCGTATGCATGTTTGTTAACAATTATGTTATTACAGTTATGAGTAAAGAAGCCTGTCATAGTAGTGTTATACATGTGTCATTTCCACAGGATGCGTCACAGGAAAGATTGCCAACTGGCTCCTGGACTGTGGGTGAGTCGGCATGTTTTATTACTTTTTCTTTGTAAGATGATATTTTTTAGCACTGAGTCTCCCAGGCTCTGAAGGACAATGTGTCAATCACTGGAAACTGGTTTAACAAAGAACAGTTAGTAGAAAGTGGAAAGTTTCTGAGGTCAGGTGTTCCAGGAAGCCGGCATGGTAAGGTAGCCACGGCATTGTTTTCGCCACAATAACCTTAGATGATGCATTTTTAGAGTTCCATTGGAAATATGAGCGTCTTCTATTTCTTAAAAACAACTTTTTAAAACTGCTCTGAACTGGCTTTTGCTGAATTGGCATAGTTTGTGCCCTCAGTCACTCTGCCAATGTTCAGAGTCACATGCAGACCACTTTTTAAGTATTAATTATGATAAAAATGTTGCTGTCAGGATACAGATGCCAACTTTTTAACCAATCTTCTAGTACCAAGGCTGTTTCACCAGCCCAGTGATTTTTTTTTTTTATCCTTGTGGTTTAGAGTAAAACAATATTATAGGAAATACCAGTTCCTTTTTCTGTTATTAAACTGAAGTAGAAGAGGGACATCAGTACACAGAGACATTATTTAATGTCTCTTATTGCAGTCATTGAAAATTACTTACTACATATAGTGTGTCAGCATCTAACACTAGGGTATGTGTAAAAGGAGTGGAGTGATGGTTTCTGAGAACTTAGCATGAATATTACCAAATAGGGTTCGACATGTCGAGCTAAATGTTACTCAGAATGTGAACATTTATACAAGAGGAAGCTGACAGGGCTTGTTAAGAGCTGATTAGCAAGTAGATCTGCATGTAGATGCGGTTATAGCCACCAGATGCAGATATCTATGCAAACGCAAGCACTTATTTGATAGAAGAAGCATCCTGATAACACTGACCAGATATTTACATATGGGTGTGTGTGTGTGTGTGTATTTGTGCGTTAAACTTGAGACGTGTCTTACAGGTCAGAGGCCTGCTCACAGAACACCGGTCAGCTGAGCTTTGGTGAGTATGAACTGAAACAAAGCTTCAGCGTAGCATTTACTGTAACTCCAATTAGAAATCTGTGACGCACTTTACATACTTACATAATTTACTGTTACATTAAATGCAAATCCACTCAAATATGTACAATTTAAAAAACAACTTTTCTTTGGACTTTAACCCTGTCTGTACACATCAGTAGTGGTGAAAGAAATCCTTTATACTGCAATATAAAAATAAATGAGGTTAAGGTGATGCATTGTAGATGACACTAAAATATTGTAAACATACATAAGTATTATTAGTAAAATGTACAGTATTTATCAAAAGTCAAAGAACTCATAATTAAGAAAAAATGGTCCCTGTGACTGTTACTCTAGGAAATGTTATATTATTGGCTTATTAGTAACATTTTACTGTAGTAGTGGAGTGGTTTAACTGGTAACAGTATAAAATACAGTATTTGATGAGCCTGTCCTATGTTTTGTATGTCAAATCTTGATTTTTAAGTCAACTTGTATCTAAAAGTTGTCAAATAAATGTAGTGAAGTAAAAGGTACAATATTTTCTTTATAAATTGTAGCGGTGTAGAAGTATTATGTAGCATGAAATAAAAATACTAGTACGAGTACCTCGGATTTATATATAAGTACAGTTCTTAAGTCAACAGTATAATGTGCAACTAGTGATTATGTGCCATCTCTGCAGAGTCTGTGCTCAAAGCCAACAACTTTGATGATGACCTGAGTCTCGGTGCTGATGGTAAGCATGCACACACACACACACACACACACACACAGGAAACTAGAAAAGCAGGAAATGTCCTTATAGGAAAATGCTGTGTACATTCTGTAGCATATCACACTGCGTTACTGTGCTTCTGCCAAGTATTGTTTGAGAAGGGGAAGTGTAGGGTAGAATGTACTTTTTGATTAATAATGCAAAAGTTAATGATTCATAAATGATTTCAGTTTTTATAAATAAACCTACAACTATATGGCCTTATCAAGGCGGCAGATAGAATATTAACATCAGAAAAGAAAGTTATGTGTTTGTTCTGTCTTTCGTCACAACCAAGCTTCAGTTTATTTTACAGTTTAAGTGACAAAGTGAACATATATACAATAGAGGTAGTACCACAAAGGTCAAGACGTCTTTAGTACAAAATATATAGGTGTAACACTACACCCTTTATATCCATTTACCTTTATATGACAAACAGCTGTGGGGGTAGCTGTTGCATGGGAGGGTGGGTCACTGGTGTGTGAGTGTGAATGACTTAACAGTGTGAAATTGCTTTGAGTGTGCTTCAAAGCATAAATAAGCGCCATACAAGTGTAGGTCTATTTATCAAATGACAAACATGATGCAAATTTATCCTTGAGTGGCATTGTGCCACAAGTTGACAGCTGTTTTGACAGCTTCTGTCAACATGTTTGGGCACAAAGTGATACTGGATGTACCGTGAAGCTAATCCAGATTTTACCAGGGTAACCCACTTGACACACACTGAGCACACAGATACATGGTGCGTTTATATAGAGGTAGGCTTGCAAATTAACTGTGAAACCACCATTCCTCTTTCATTCTGTTTCAGCTTCTGAGTTAAATGGTGGAGAAATTACATGTGAAGATGGGTGAGTAGAAACTATGCTCTTATAGTTGTACTAACAATGAAACAACAAGAAATGAGGAATGTAGTGCTTTTGAAAGAGTGAATATTAGATCATAATAACCCATTTTGCTTTAATCATTCTGCTGATTGTTCTGTATTTTTAACTTCCTTTTCTGTTTTCCAGTCAAGAACACAGTGCATTTAGAATAGAAATGAAGTGTCTTTGTTGTTTCTAACGTTTCAGTTGAATCTAGAGGCATACAAATATATTTGTGTCTCTTCACTGATATCTTTGGTTCCTGTTCACACCCCTGCACGCTGGCTGTTTCTGAAATGATCCAAATGTGCAAAGGAGATAACACTCATTTATCACTTGGTTGCAGGCTACAGTGTGGTGCATTGTGTAGCTGTTTTTAGTTTTAAAGGAACAGACATGAAATTATCTGAATGTAGTAAATCAGTATTTACAAAAACCCAAAGAATGAACTGGTTCGGTTTTCTTCTTTGTTTCTCTCTGTGCTGACCATGAAGCCTCACACAGCATTCCTCCTCTAGACCGCGTCATGGCCGACTCACTAGCAGGTCAGTCATCTTCTTCCTCAGCCCAAACTGTGCAGATCACAACACATCAATAAGCACTACTTGTACAGTAGCATACAAAGGTTTGGTAATAACATGAAGCTTAATACTTGAGATCACTGTATGTTTTTTCTGCATCTAATATAAAGATGCATTATAACTTTTTCATGCCTTTTCATGCAGCCCTCATCCAGGACTATGTCTGCCATCGCTGAACTTGGGACACAGCATGGCCTCCAGCTGCATCTCCACTTCCACCTATAAAACTACATCAAGGTGAGGCTTCATTAAGAGGTTTATTATTCTGTACATCTGAAGACTGATAACCAGGCTCTGTTCTCTTGAATGACCTGCTGGACAAGTTGCAAATTTTCATATTAGCTTTTTTCCTTATCATTTCTCTTTTTCTTGCTTCCAGAATACCAGAATTACCAGAATAAAACAGTTTATATTGTTTCTTTTTTGTTTTTAATAGTATTGGTTGATGAATTGGTTTGTGGCATGGTTCATTATTTTCTTTCACACCCAGTATATCAGAGGTCCTGCAGATGTGTTCAGAGGATGCAGAGGAGACGTTGTACGAGCTTGGTTTTGGTTGCGATGAGCCACAGGTCACTGTTCGCATCCCCACTCGCTTCTTCACCTTCCCCTCTCAGGCTCAGGGCATTAACTTCCGCCTCTTCCTGGACTCACAGATATGGCGGATACGAGAAGAAGACCCCAGCCTCTCTCTTGCTAGTAAGTCTATGGATCTGTGAAATCACTCACCTTTGTCATGTGAGTTGTGTAATATTGTTTGTTGTGTGAAAAGGTGACCTAATTTTGGAATGTAGCAAATGAGATCTGGATTACATTAATTTACATTTTATTCTTTCCACAGGTCGTTTCAGACAAGTTCAAGTGCTCACGGCAATGGCCAACGCTTTCTACTCCCTCTACTCCCATGTGTCCCGCACCCCTCTTCAGAAACTGGCCACACCTGAGTTTATCTTCTCTTCTCCTGTTGAGAGGTTTGAACGCTTTAGAAGCAGCGTTCGCAGCGAGCCGCGTTCTCCGGTGGACAGGCTGAAGGACACCGTCTCCAAGATGTGTCTCTACACAGGCTCTCCTCGTGGATCAGACTCCACCTCTCCGCAGCCTTCACCCAGGAAAAGGTCCAGCCTCCCTGATGTTGTGTCTATACTCCAGGAGAAAATCAAATCTGGACCAGTCAAGAAATTGGATTTGGGGGAATATAATAGGAGTAATTCAGCTGTGGATGCTGGGCTAATCATGGAAGGGGATAAATCCTGTAATGGTGGGAAAGAAGAGCAAACACAGCAGACTGTGGTTGACACCAACATTCCTCAGAATGGAAATAAAATCAGTAAACACGCAAACAAGGCTGATGTCAAACTAACAGACCCTGACAACAGGACTCACAGCGTAAGAACATCTCTAGCATCATCATTATCAGGAGAAACTGTGATAGAAACAGATCATCAGTTTCTCTCATGTCAGCCAGAGCTGGACTCATGTTCCATTCAAAGCGATACAAGGACAGCTGATGCGAAACGCATTGTCAAAGCTACTTATGATCTAATCTGCCCTCAGATAGTTGAGAGTGTACACCAGGCACCTTTCTGCTCTCAAGATACACATAGTCTGAAAAAAAACACCTTACCTCCTATCTCCCCTGAGACAGAAACCATAGATATATCATGTTCTGGATTACACAAACTCCATATACAAAAAGCTGCCTCTGAGCACGATGAGGACTCAAGTGATGTTACCTCTTCAGGGGAAGCCAAACAGGTGGATGCTTCCAGATCACTTCCTGTCCTAACCCCCAGTGGCTGCTATACCCAATACTACATCACTGTGACGGGCTGGGAGGGGGACGGTGTCTCTTCCTGCTCCTTGAATATACCACATTCCAGTCATACTTCAGCTGTTCCACCTGTCCAGACAAGCGAAGAGTTATCTGAGGAGGGGAGAAGCCGGTACCTAAATCCATTCACACACCAGGGCCTGCGGAAATTCTCCACTAACCTACAGCAGGTTAACTCTTTTGAGCTGGAAGAGGTACAGTAGTGACACAACAGTACTATACATGTATAGTATGTATGGAATGTACACATGGATGATTGTGGGAAAGAAAAGACACTGAGATATGTTTCTATTTTTAAAGGAAAGTTTCACATTTTCTCCAGCTCCTGTTTCCAGTATTTGGAAAGAATCAATCACTCAGGCGGTGATAAGATTAAATGTACAACACTTACCCCTCAGTCTAGGTTAAAGTCCTTTATCGTAATGATACTAAAAGAAGTGGCCTCTACTCTCTACTGTCAGCACAGTGCCTGTTATTGCTCCTTGACATTGTTATTAAATCCTCAAAATTATTTTTCTATAGTTTAGTTTAGTTTATCTTACAGGCAAAACATGATTGTAAAATAGTGAATAAACGGTAGTTCCATTTATTCACTAGTTTACAATCGTGTTGTGCTAAATGGTCCACAGTGTTCATCAGTGATAAAACTATATATTTATTGCTCAACCCCATTAGTAAACAAACCAGTCAAACCAGATGTACAGTACAAAATTCATTAATTAATTAGATGGAACATTGTGGTGTGGTGTATGAATATTAACACTTTGTAACAATTCTTTAGTACATTACTTGTGTGGTGTAGAAGATAATTATTTAAGAATGTAATTATGTAAGAATGTTAACACTGTTATAATTTTTTTAGTATATTACTTGTGTGGTGTAGAAGAGAATCATTTACGGCTTGCAAACCAATGATGGTAAGATGATGTCATGGGGGAGGACTGGATAAGTCTGACTTCTTCCTACTCCATTCAAGCATGTACTAGGTATAAGCAAATTGATATTGGATTATGTGTACAATCATGTGTGTTGTCATATCAACTGTCTTTACATGCTTGAAAGAATAAGAATAAATCAAATCAAAATTGGTGCTTTTTCTCTCAATAGGTGCACAGTGCAGGAGAGGAAGATGTTGGACAGTCAGAAGCTTTGAGAACACCGTTGTCCACAGAACGTCAGTACAATGGTACAGAGTATTTGGAGAGTTTTGCATGAGTAAAGAAGGATATAGTCAGTTGTTACAACTGTTGCGTCTGTACACTGTCGTCATAATTTCAAAAGAGCTGTTTCTAATACAGCGGCAGCTTGTGTGGCTACCAAATCTTATTCATTGTTCATGTTCATTGTTATGTATGTGTGAAGGGTGTTGTTGGTTAATGCTGTAACAGCTACTGTACCCAGAATGCAACATGCCTCCTCTGAGTGTTTACACAAGAATGTTTCTATAAAGGTGCAAACAAATTTGTTTGCACAGACAATTTCTTGCCAGAATTGAATAATTCACTTTGGTCTCACTGTAGGCCTTATACTGAAGTAAAGCATGGCGTAAGAAATTAAACAAGTTTATGTAGAAAAGACTGCATGTGTCAAAATTAATTTATTTGGTAAGGGAGCTTTATGACTCACAGGCACATGCAGATACAGGTCACTGTGCAGGTGCACTGTCACTGGGAACATACTGTTGTGCCTTTGTGTGTCTATTCAGGTCAGACTGCAGCTGCATTTGTGCAGTGGTATGCAGTGTATGGAGATGTTGCCTGACTGTACTTGTGTCCTTGTGTAGAAAAAGTTGTCCGGGACGACAGCATCCAGTCAGACAGCAGTGGCTACGCGGACGAAGAAGTCAGTCCCTCATCAGATGGACACAATAGATGACAGAAAACCCAGAACTCTGTGTGAAAAGTAGGGTTTTCTCACCGATGGACTTCTTCCTCCTCCTGCATTGAAGCTCTGACTTTATACAACTGATGACTTGGAAATCGAATCCAGGCAAAGGCAGTAGTCAAACAGGCCCAGGACTATGGTACTACAGTATAAGAGACTTGGTCACATGCAAAGAATTACATTTCATGCAAAGAATTCATGCAAAGAACGTCACGTGCAAAGAATTATGTTTCTTCACAGTGCTCATGCCGAGTACAGAATATTGTAAATGCTTGCATATTTAATACATACAAGATTTTTATGAAACACTGTGTGGATCGTATTTGGACAGAATGGTAAATCACTCTGGAATGACAGCATATTCAATTTGTTACAACAGTTTGTAGTAAAATTAATAAAAAAAAAAAAGTATTGCAAAGTGGGTGGCATTGTGGTGCAGCGATTAGCGCTGTCACCTCACAGCAAGAATATTCTGGGTTCGAGCCCTGGCTGATCCATTGCCTTTCCGTGTGGAGTTTGCATGTTCTCTCCAGGTGCTCCGGCTTCCTCCCACAGTCCAGAGACATGCAGCTTGGGTTGATTGGCGACTCTAAATTGCCCATAGGAGTGTGTTCGGTTGTTTGTCTCCATGTGTCAGGCCTGTGATAGACTGGCGACCTGTCTGGGATGTACCCCGCCTCTCGCCCAATGCCAGCTGGGACTGGCTCCAGGCCCCTGACCACCATCATCAGGATAAGTGGTACAGATAATGGACAGATAGATTTTATAATGGACGGATGGATTTTATTAGTCAATTTTACATGAAGCTTACATTTTAGTTCATAGATTTCCTAAAACGGGGGAACATTTTCTACTATCCCAACAAAGATGTCTATCAAAATTTAAAATGTCAGCACTGATAACAATGGTGTCAGTAGGTAAAATTAAAATTTTTAAAAACTTACTGTAAAAACTGTTACTGAAAATTATGCAGATCTAGCTTTCCAGAGAATAAGGTCAGTGTTACATAAAACTCACTGTACAAGATACCAGTGGAGGTGAAGGTGCAGAAACATGGTCAGCCTGCATTGTACAAAAGGCTATCTTTTCAAATAGTGCAAAACGGTTCACTATTTTCAATACTTACTTCAGCTGAGTGCACAGCAGTGTATTGACAGTTATTCAAGTACTGTAAGGTAGGTGGTAATGAAACCTTACACCAAGACACAACAGGAAATCTGAGAATATAATGTGGAAAATCACAGTCATGGGTTTTCAAATACTTTTACAAGAATCACAGTCACACTGATTGGAAAAAAAAATCACAAATTATAAATGAACAACAAGCATGAAAGCATAATTTATGCAATTACTTTGAAACTTCACATAAGAATATATGGTAGCTTTACTTGTGTGGTCCAAGGTATTTGAAGTCAAAAGTAAGGCTTTGTTTAAGGATCCAAGATCAATGCTTTATCAGAACACTCACAGTACTTTTACCTGTTTCAGCCCAAAGATGAAGCCCTTTGTTTTGCACAGAAGTGGATTTGCAAAGCTCTTAATGCAAAGATTAGGAACTAAAAGAAGGCCAATAGAGAAAATGATTTGAAATTTAATTTTAATGTTATTTCAATTACCCTCAGTGTTCAGAAGTGTGAAAGCATCTGATCATTTTGAGAGTTCCTAAAATGTCCAAGAGCTACAAAGGGCAAAATGACTAATACTGTAAAGGCAAATTATTTTTAGTCATGTCAATAATATTCATCACACTTCTACTTCAGTAAATGCCAAACAATAATATGATATAGAGGGTTCATTTGAAACCAAATTCAGCTATAAGGCTAAACAAAATTACATGATGCATTTCAACTTGAACTTGAGTTTTAAAATATGAAGAGAATATTGTCTAAAATTCAAATCTTCGAGGCAAAACATTAACAACATCACAGAGACAAACAGCCTGAATTTCTGGGGTTTGTACTAATATATAACAAAAGCCATATTTGTCAAGGCTCATTCTAGCTCTGGTGGCTTGACTAGCGCCGTTGTGTGGCAGCCTTTCGCCATGTGTGTGTGAATGGGTGAATGGTGTATCATCTCCTGTAAAGCACGTTGGCCAGTGCAACACACTGTGGAAAAATGCGCTATATAAATACAGTCCATTTACCATTTACCATGTGTATAAGGGTCAAATAATTATACTCTTCTGATCTTTATTCAGCAGTCTCTTTCTCTCCGCATTTCAGGAGCATGGCTATTTTTACTTCCTTCCTTCCATTAGAGCAGCCATTAAATGAAGCATCAATAACTGACGATTCCATAGCTCAGTTCTAAAAACCCCTTGGACCATTTGCTTTGGCTGCATCGGAGTTACTCTCAGGTATGTGGGAACTCATCGAGGAGAAACACCATTTAAAATTCCATACAAAGACTTTTTTAAACTTTAGATTTTATACAATTTTAAATATGCAATTTTGGGGCAACTAAAGCTTCATGGGCAACAATTACTAAACAAAGTGACCAGAAACCAGGCTCCAGGGGTTTACAGGGAGACAGAAAAAGTGTCTCGTTTCCAAATATGAGGTAATTCATGTTGTCTGAACTCATCACAAAGGTGCCTCTGCTGTCCAAGGTGGAAATTTATCCTGGCATTGTGTGATGGAGAGTTCAAGTCTGTGAGGAGGAAAATGATATCACTTCCCTCCAGCCATGATTTTGAGGTATTGCAGTGCATTGTGGGCTGCGCTGGCTCGAGCTGCATCTATGCTCGTAGCAAAGCCGTGGCACACTGTGACTGGCTGTGTGGACAGCTCCACCAGACACTGGCACAGACCGCTTAGACTGCGTTCCTCTGAAACAAGAAAGAACAAGAAGCTTAAAATCTACCACACAGTTCTTAATGTCCATTTTATTTTGTCTGTCATTTCTTCAGCAGCAGAATTTAGCCTGAATTTGACTATAAAACATAATTCCTCCCTCACTGCTGCTTTGGACAGCAGCTGATGACATGTCAGCCTTCACATCCATTTGCCTGAAAAGAGCACTGCGGTATATTTCAGTGGCATGTCACTGACAAATATTATCTTCATTATTAAGCTGATGAGCACTTTGATAATTACGAGCCTTTGTCATATGCTATAAAATGGTACACATGCACTAAACTAAGTCTTTTGTAACTTAAGGCCCACTTTTGATTGTAAAACAAATTTCAGAGGACCACCTTCCCAAGTATATGAGAAAAAACATAAAATACAACACAAAATAATTAAACTTGGCTTGAATATGTAGCCCACTGGTTGAGAATGGCTGCACTAAACTGAGAGCACAGTTGCAGTCTGCTTCCTTCATATCTGATGACAGTAACTAAACATCATGCTGATGATGCTCTGCAAAGCCATAGTCTGTGCAAGTGGTGTAAATTGGATGTGAAGGCAGTAAGAGACTTCCACGCCAAAAAAAAAAAAAAAAATCACTTCATAAATGCACATGTAACCTTAATTAAACCCATTATTACTATAAAATGCAGCTCTTCAGGTATATGGCCTGTGATTTTCATTCAGTGTGGTGCTTGGCAGAAGTGGATGTAATTTTAATTTATTCGACCGCAGCTCTCTGTGAACTCACCTAGATCCAGGTAACTGACGTCAAAGCGCTGCTCGACAGACAGGTCACTGAGCAAAGAGCAGAAGTTGCAGTCAGAGGGCATACCCAGAGGGTGGCTACGGAGCTGAAGGATCTTTTCTCCAGCAGAGTTACGCAGAGAGTCCCATGTGCAGCTGAAGCCTTTACTTTTGCCGGACTCAGCTCTGCTCCCCAGGTGCTGTATGCAGGAGAGATGACGGTCATAGCAGTTAATAAACATGATTATTATCAGGTCAGCTTATGGTATCCTGCATAACATCTGAAGGACAAACAACTGGAAATGGATGACAATATTAAGCTCTATGTATATAAGATTAAGGAAACATAACTGGAGATGAAGAAACTACCTCACTTTCGTTTACATAGTATGTAGGGTTGTGCAGCCGTTCCTGTACTTTCACAAAGATTTTAACATGCAGGATTTTCATTTTGTACTGCAGCAGGGAAAAGGTTTATTTCTGCTTGTTTCTCACCATGGTGAATGTGTCATCTTCTGTGTCAGCGTCATTGCTGGTCCTCAGGTCTACTGGGACATCGTGTATATGTGATAACATCTTAGCTGCTGCGTTTCTCTTGGCCAGCTTCTTGGACGTACCACTTCCTGGAGATGAACAGGAAACAGGACCTTAATATTTCCAACTCTGCGATGGATTGGCGACCTGTCCAGGGTGTACCCCGCCTTCGCCCGATTGCCGGCCGGGATTGGCTCCGGCCCCCACCGTGACCCCGTTCAGGGACTAAGCGGTAGAAAATGAATGAATGAATATTTCCAACTATTAGTGGCACCTTAAGCTGTGCCAGAGACCAGCCAGTACTCTTGTAATTCCTGAGTGTAGGTCAGTGAAGGCGAGAAACTATTCAACACCCCTGTAAAAGGCAGCATGGTTGATTTTTTCCATCTCAATAAGCTGTTTTTGTTGTGGTTTGTGTCCTGCGCTTTTATTTTTGGTTAGACTTCCTGTCATATGTAGGCTTGCCTGCCCCAGCTTTACCCCGGTTCACAATCACCATTCATGGTTGTTGTCCTCTGGTCTCCTGTGTATATATCCTCCTTCGTTCCCTCAGTCTGGTTGCTGGTTCATTTTGTCTCCGTGCCTTGTTGCCCCCGTCCTCTGATTGTTAGCTCCGTTCACCACACCCTGCTTGTTCATATCCTCTTGTAAGTTTGACACTGTCTGTTGTTTGTGTTCCTGGCCTGTTCTTTTCATTAGTTTCTCCAGTCTTGCTTTAGTTTCTTACCCTGCTCCCTGACTTGCTGTTTAGTTTAGCATTTTGGAAGTCTTTGTTTGTCCCAGTCAGGATGAGCCTATGTATTTTTCCCCATTAGTCTCATTCTCTATCATTTAATAAAGCCCTACATGGACCTTCCCCTTGCCTCGTGTCTCTGCACATTGGGTCCTATCTAGCCCTTAACCATAACAGCATTTTCTGTCAGCATTATTTGATAATTAGCATTAAATGCTTGAATGAGTCACATGGTAAAACATTTTTTAAAATCACGAAAAGCAGATATGATCTAAACCAGAGACAAAAAACCTACACACACACACACACACACACATACAAAACGCACACTCTGAGAAAGCAAAATGTATTTTACCGATTTCTACAAATCTCTCGACTCTGCAGGTCATGGTAAACTCTTTGCGATGTGCTGGACCAGACTCCTGGGTGACGGTGTACTCTGGCAAACGCCATCCTTTCTGCACCACCAATTCCTGGCAGAGAAGAACACAGACAAATATTATTTGAAATATAAAAAAAAAAAACAAAAAGACATGAAACAAACTATCCAGATAACACAAACTGAAGGAAGGACTGGCTAAACAATAAAAGTATTCATAAAAACATCATAAAGCAACCAAAGAGGACCTTAACCACAATAGTTTTTGTTAGATCACCTGCAGAGCCCCTACAGGGTTACATTCAGACTGCTGAGAAGTGCCTGAGGTCTTCATCTCTGACTGGCAGCTGCAGAGAAGATGAGATAAAACAATTCTGAAGAGGAAGTAACGAAATCACGCAGACCTCCTGCATGTGTTAAATGCTGAAACATTCTACATTTCAAGCCATTAAATGTACAGATCATACTGAGATGCTATATTGGCTAACATCAGTTGATTCTGGATCCACACTTCTTTTTTTTTTTTACAATGTAGTTGTCAGTGTTATCATCATCATCATTTTAACTGTAGAGCCAGTGGAATTAAAAACAAAAAAAGGAAACGGACCTGTCTCCATCAGTACACACATCAACCCCAATAAATACTTCTACTCCAACACCAACTCCAGCGGGCCCACCGAGGCCTCCCTTGAGCATCTTCAGAGCAGCCTCGGCTGCTTTGTGCTTGGCTGCCTTTTTACTGGGCCCTTGGCCGGTGCAGCTGATCTCTCCGACAGAGACACGGAACGTGAAGTTGGGCTGGTGGGCCTGTCCCTCGGCCTTCAGCAGGTCATACACTGGGGTCTTGCCTATCCTTGTTCCATATTCCTGCAGCAGACTGATGGGCGTCTTTCCGGGATTCACAGCCAGCATTTGCTCAATACTAAACAGGAGACAGCACAAGCATGTGATAGAATGTTGACAAAAGCATGTCGAAATTAGACTCAGGGGTGTCTTCTTCATATCTTTCCAGACACATTTATAGACTTTCACATAACTGTGTAACTCAGAAGGTTTTTGACTTTTTCCATTTGCTATGGCTATATTCTTTTACTTTTTTGTAATGATCAAATGAATGCACCGAACTGAAACTAATCTATTTCACGTGTCAGTTCACCTAAATTACAAAATTAGTTTTAGTTGCGACCTTGGTTGAAATGACTGTCTAATCTTTTCATACAAAAAGTAAATACTATGTACAGAAAGAAGCAATGCTTCGAGAGAAAATGCCTTGCAAACATCTGAAAATGCAGGGTGACAAGATGCAACAACTCTCACGCATGTGCATTAATACACAGTGTATTGCGTATTGCGGTCTGTAACCACTGTTTATACAGTGTGTATAAACAGTATGGACTGCAATCTTTAGTCAGAACAGTTAACTGCTCGGAGTTTGTGCTTTGTCTTGATCTTTATAAAAGTACTGTAAATACTGGTACGGAACATGAATACAGTTATATATTTGGCTACTTATGTCTAATAGTCCCTGTAAGTCTCTGGGTCTTTCTGGCTTTAAAAAGATCGTCGCCGCCGTCGTCTCAAACGTGACCTCTGTATCACACTCGGACACATAACGTTACACTTTATTTTTAAGATAGCTGAGTAAAGTCTGTACTGACTAAATGTCGCCATGTTAGCCAGAAATAAAAACCATTAGCTTCATTTCAGTAGCCGTTCAGAAAGTCTACAAATGAATTCTCAGACGGACCACTGCCAGCTAGCTACAGTGCTATGCTATCTTAGCGTCTGTGGAGATTCACCTGGAGCACCCGGAGTTTCTCTTCCAGCTATCCGATGCTGTCTCGTCGTTCATTCCCTATTTCACACAGACAGAGCCGGTCGGTTTTGGATGGTAAATCCCCCACCAAAGCAGACAGTCTGCTTTCATTAGACAGTATTTCTATGAACAGATAATTATGCACTGACATGTGAAGAAAAGATAAAGCCCCGATGCACAAAAAATACAGAGCAATCCTTCAGGAGCACGGATATGACGTATGAAGCATCGCCGTGAAACTCATTCTCATTGGTCCGATTATTCTTGGGTTAGTTCATTTTGAATATCGAGATACACCGACGGAGGACTGACAAGACGAAGCACTTGATACCACTGGTGTATTTTTTTTAAATCAGCGACACCTAAAAGCACCGAGGACCTTACAGTTGAATCTATCTATCTATCTATCTATCTATCTATTTAGTTACATGTAAGTATAGACTACAGCAATAAAAGAGCTGTTGTACTCCAAAACTTTATTGCTGGCTCTCTGGACAATTATTTATTATGACTAAAAAGAACCAGAAGAGGGAGACAGTCGGTTGCTGATGTGCCCAAGCCTCACTGCCACGCTTTTGTTCGTGCTTTTGGGCCTTGGGATTTTTGCTACCTGTCATTTCCACCACTGAACCAACGCGGAAGCACGGGAAATGTAGGTATGGTTGTGGATAGGTCTAAAATGACTATAAAGGAGAGCTTGAACCCAGACATACTGCAGGAGGTCTACTAAAAAACTTACAATATAATACTAACAACAGTTATACACTTTCCCCCTAGAGTACCAGTCAAAAGTAAAAAGGTGCTTTACAATGGGAAATCATTTTGGCGCCACAATTTAATTTAATCAAGCAATTAAAAGTGCCACACATTTAATAGAAAGTTTTAGGTCTTAACAAAAGTCAAAGTAGTGCAACTGTATGAAAGCAAAATACAATACAAGAAAATAAAATCACAGCTGACAAGATAACATGTTGAATAGACAGAAATCCTATCTATACCATCATCCTGGCTATACTTTAAAGTTAAGAGTGTGCATTGTGTGTAGAAATGGAATTACTTATAGAATAACAGTACAGACTGACAACCTTACTAATTTGGGTCCAGTTTCTCTGTTTAGTTTGAATCCCTTGGTGAATACCCAGTGGAATCATGCAGACCCTTAAATACTTTTAGAGCCACAAGCTCAGTACGTCCTACCCAACTAATGTAGCAGCACTTCCATAAAATATTTCCGTACATTTTCCACCTTTCCATCATTTCCTTTATTTCTGTGGCTGGACAATTAATCCCATGATGGTTTGCTCATAAACCCCTGCTGGCTACTGTCCACTAGAGCTTGGATTCTGATGGCTTCATTCACTGGCATCAGTGTGTCATTGTGGAGAAGCACAGTTCGCCAAATGCAACACAAAGAGAGCTGGTCCTGACAATGAGTAAAGCTGTCTTCCATTTGAACTTCCAGACCTACAATCAATACACCATGATTTATCAGTGACCAGGGTATACCCCTCCTACTCATTATACTTGTTTGTTTGCTTGTTCTTCAGGTCTTGATTTGTCATTGAAGGACCTAATGTATGGACCTATAGCATTACAATTTAACTGTTTTTTCTGAGCTAGCGGTTAAATCACTGAATGAATCAAATCTGAAATGAATACTGTCTTACCAGTTACAATATATTTCATCCAAAATGTATGCACACATAGAAATACATACACATTTTCCTTTTCACTATCTTGGCATTGCTATGTGTGGTTCATTGGTTGCCAAAGTCATCAGTACATATCTTCAACCATGGGGCTGTATGAATACGCTTTTTCCCTCCTTCCACAGTATGATGTGTTTCCTTTTTTGTGTGTGTTTTGATCCCTCTCCTGCGGCCGAGCTGTGCTGTGGTGAGGCGCGGGTTCGAGTGGCGCTCCTGTGTTATTTTTGGCAGCAGCAGTGGTTGGTGGCTGTTGAGGAGAGAGGAGACAGAAGGGGGATAGCATGAAGCCCAAAACCGAGGCTGTTTAAGGGATTTCTGTCTGAAGGAATTGCTTTGTAATGATCAGAAGCTCATTATGGATCTGTGCGTGTGTGCACTCGTGCATGACTACGCGCACACACAGAGAAAGGATGGCATGCACATTTGTTCATTTAACAGTTCACAAACACCTCATATACATGTCCTCATTTACAGACCACACACTCAGAGTTGCTAAATTGTTTAACATGTCAGCTTAGTTTTTCATAAAATCAGCTCCATCCATGTTTGATGAAACATTAAATCCACCAACAGATTTAAATATTTGTCTTTATTTATTTATCAAAGTTACTCTGTTCATGTCACATGGGAACCATTCCTTGTTTGTTAACCACTTTGTTAATTTTGTCTCTCTCTCTCTCTCCTCTGTGGGAGTCAGTCTGGGACATGCTCAGGCAACATGCAGTGTCAGACATTCACGCTCCTCCGTCTACGCTTCTGAAAACACCATTTGAAAAAGATTTTCTCAAACTCTATTCTTGGCCACAGATCAAGAGAACATTATTACTCTACTTTATTTATTTATATATTGTGGTGATAGTGTGTGTGTGAATGTATGTGTGCATGGCTATGTGTGCGCGGGTGAGTGATATGTAACTGTGTATGCATGTGTGTTAACCCACAAAGATATTTCAATTTCTTCAGAATATTAAATAAACATGCAGCAGCAGCAGCAGCTTCAGTGAAGCGCTGCTTGCCAGTGGGTTTTGGGTTGGATGGGTGGCGGTGCTGGTGGTGAAGGGGGAGAGGGGGTTTGTGGCCGAGGCTCTCGGGGGGTGAGGCAGCTCATGGTCAGGGCCCCCGCCGGACACACTGGCGCCTCGCGCTGGAGGACTTCTGAACCACCACACTCCTCCACCAGAACCCTGCCAGCCCTGGCTCCCTGCTCCTGCTTCCAACCCAAATCACTCAGTTCTCTTTCTGCAGTTTAACTCTCTCACTGTGTCTGTATCACTCTCTCTCTCTCCTTCCGCTCTGGCTCTTATTCCTTGACTTAGTTTCCTCATTCAGTTGATCCAAACCCCGATTCATTTGCCATTTGGCTGCCTTGTCTTTTCTCACTTACTGTACCGCTGTACATTTAGTGGCAGATCTCCCTGATCGGGTGTTCTCTGGCATTTCTTCTTCACTTTAAACGTTCTAGTGAAGTATTTAGTGGCTTGAATTTAGCAAACAAAAATGGGCTGTATGTAAGTCAGAATAACATCAGGATAGTAAGTAGGAAAGAACAGTTTATCGCCAGATATCTGTAAGGGTATTAGATTATAATGGGCCATTAAATTTCTAAAGGCTTTTCTGACCATCTCTAAGAGATAAAGGGCTGCTCCACTTGTTAATGAACAAACTTTCCAGTGAGGCTGAAATCAAATAATCAATAAGTGATTCCCCATATGTGAAATGAATTTTCAAATTCATGTTAAATGATGAGAAATACTTGAGATAAAGAACAAGCATGCACTTTATTCAGGCCTCGTTGACAAATGTGGTTTATCAGAAAATCCTAACTGCACCTACTGCTGCATATAATTGAATTTAGGATGTCAAACATCTTGAGTAGAGTGGATATGTCTATGTGTCAGACATACAATTTTCTTAACTTAATTTTCCCCTGGAAGCAATTTGTCATGTGGAGGCCATTAAATGGGAAGCATATTATCTTTTTAAAGGGGCACAAAGTCACCCACAACCCTCCCACAGTGCCTATAAACAAAATAGCCTCATTTAGTGGTGCATTTAATGGGCTGGGCAGCAAGTGAGGACTCCCTTTAAATTTTAAAGGTAGTTCTCAGACTTGAAAAGGCTGATGACACTGTTTGATTAGGATAGGAAATATAAAGAACAAGTCTGATGGTGCATGGCATGCCAACTGCTGTCCATTTTGGCAAAAGAGAGGGTGGTCTAACCAACACCAGTCTAATAATGACTCGTATAGTGCAGTGAGGAGAGACAGGAAGAGGTGCAAACAAAATACAGCATTGTTGCATCAGCTGGACTCAAAGGTCAGTGGCACAATATACTTCATAAATGAACAAAAGCACTCGAGGAATGACTGAGGCACATCTTTTGTACTTCTTTGTAACATGGTGCTGCTTCCTCTCCTGACATGTAAACGCTGGCTTTAAATGATAAGCAAAGTAGGCTTAGCATAGTACATCTGCAAGATAGCTTGACCTTTTTACCTCTTGCCCTTTCTTATCTGTTGTGTGTTCCTCTTTACCCCCTGTTTTATGTAGCTTGACCTCTTCTGCTCTGCAGGTCATGTTATGGTTCACTCAGGTTAGTTTACCTTTCCTCTTTGCCTCTGAGCCTGTGGGCGTACTGAGATTCTTTTTCCTTTCTCCCTCTGCTCTGCTACAGAAACCCAGTCACACCTGCAGACACCTGTGCTTTTGTCCTGCCTAATGCCTCCCACAATCCCCCCACCCTCCACACACAGGCAGGGAGTAGTAGGCCCTCGTGCCCGTGGCTATGTCAGAGCACAGTCCATTGTTTTACTTGACTACTCAGTCAGGACCAGATAATAGCAGGAAAAGGAGGTTCATTAGCATTTTGTTCAACTCACCTTGATGAGTCAGTCTCTCATTTTAAAGCGCTGGAATCTCAGTGTCTCATAAATTTGAAATTCACTAAGTCTAAGTATATATAACTCATTAAGTCTTATGACTTAACTAAACACTGGTCGAGTGACTGTTTTAAAATTGTTTCTTTGTGCTTGTTAAGTTGGAAATGGGCTGTATGATGGGATTCTCTCGAATAACCTTTTTAGTCCTATTAAGTCTGCAGTGATTTGATTTAGTAAACGGAGAACGGGGACACAAGTGGGCAAACCATATGGAACAGATTGTCCAGCTTCTGCTTTTGCTGCTGTGTCACTGCATGTATATTTTCTTTTTATGAATGTATTTGAAGCAACACTTAATGTTTCCTGGCTTTCTAAATAAAAGAAGTAAAAATAAAGTTAAGGCTACAGCGTGCCACCACCACTGCTGAGGGAGTGTATTTTAAAAATGCAGAAAATACCAGTAACAGCAGAGGTTTTAAAAGCCACTGACCATCTTCTAAACCCCCCCACCCTCACTTGCTCGCCTGACACACCCTACCCATACCTCATTCTCCCTGCTTGCCTTTTATGTTGTGGACTCGACCGTGCGCCCACTTCAGACCGCCATAAACATTTTGGTCCCTGATGACAGAGTCGGCCTCAGGACGTTTTATATAAATTGACCTCAACTACAGCTCATTAGAAGCCCTAAATTAAAACCATGCAGCCTGAGAAGTGTAACTGTTACTTCAGGGGGGTTCCAGCCGTACAGGTCTTCACTGGTCTGATGAATAACCTTATTTTTAAATATCACTTTTTTCTAAAGCTTTATGACTGGTTAGGTAATGTGATTTTCACTGGTGTGTGTGGAAAGATTTGAATATATCTCTAAATATTTTTACATGCTTATCATTTGTTTAAAAACATCACCTGTTAACAGCGTGGTTGTTAACATTATACAAACTCTCATAACTATTTCTCTAGCACTTCTATAGAACACAGCACATCTGTTGCAGGCTTGATTTAATCTTTCCTGAGGCTATCTCTCTTTTATTGCAGAGTGGGTAGTCCGCCCACCTCAGGTATTTTTATTAGTCTGCAGTATAGCCTGAATGACCTGACAGAAAGACACGAGCGCTATTTGCTGGGACATTTCTTGCAGATTTTGACTGGAGATTTTTGACAGTCAGGAAAATGCACTTGATGGTCAGCCCAGCTTCTTTTCTACATTTGTATCTCCACATCATGTCTTTCATCCTGATTCCTGCCCTAAATGGGGTCCTTTGTTTGACCACCTCCCTCAATAAACAATACAACCACAACTTCTCTGTCCTAATCCCCTCTTCTCCTCTCTCCTGACTCCACTGGACCATCGCTCTCAGTAATTACTCCTCTCAAGCTGGAAAGTGGAGTAATTGTCTTGAGTGTAACTACAGTGGCTCTCTGAAAAGGGGTCATTGTGTAGAGTTAAGACTTCACTTCAGTGTTTGTGCTGCAAAAGATAATGAAACTATTTGCTCGGCCATGGTGCGGTGGAAATACAACAAGATATGAATGACAGTGAGTGAAGAGAGGAGGGGATGCAGCGTGTAGGAGTGAGTTTCATGTCCTGTCAACAGCTGCTTTTCATTTTTATTTTCTGCATCTTAAAGTCAAGCTGACATATTTGAATGTCCTTGCGTACCAATAACACCAGGGAGAAAAATGCTTTTGAAATATCTTTACTTTTAAAAGCACCAAAACTGTCATGGTTTCACACCATAACTCTTACAACATGTATTCCTTTTTCAAGGTTTCATGTTTTATCACTATTTACAGTATCTTATAGCAAACACTGTTAGTTTAATTCTCATTAATGAGCAACATTATGAACAACAAATTAAGATCTTTCATTTGTGTTTCGTTTAACTGAAGCAACATAGACATCTTTTTCACTGTGGGACAACATATGGCAAATACATAAAAAAGTAGAAAAATAACACACCTAAACAATATCTATAACTGCTGTAAATATATAGTATGTACAAAAAAAACCCCCTTTTTAATCATTAGTTTGCCAGGTGTGGAAGACTTCACAATTAAAAGATGATATAGAAATAGTTTACACACACATCTGACTTCAAGATCTATAAATAAATCTTTAAAAACATAGCCCCAAAATCCACATTATAACTAACTAATAAATAAGAAAAAAAAAATCTTAATTTAATGCATTTTAGTTTCCTTTTGGTTATCTTCAACCATCTTGCATTTGTTTTTTCAGGCATTATATTTCCTGCAGGGTGCAAGATGATCTTCCACATGTATAATTTAAGACATAAATTAGATTATTTATGTAAATATGAAATTAAATTAGGCATAGTATGAAGCAAACAGCAAACAAAAGTAAAATGCAAAACATTTTACATCAAAATGTCTCTGGCAACAAAAAGCGGTTAGTAAGACTGTAGATTGTTTCAAGAATAGTGAAGTATTAAAGTACAGCTGTAAATCAGATTTTTCTCTAGGCATGCAATGCTCCATCAGCTAACCATAAGTCTCGAACTATAACTACTTTCCTTTTGTGGCTTCAAAGCTCTTTTCCTTTTGCTCTTGCAGATTAAACTTCCCCAGTGGTTTGTCTCATTTGAAAGGCAAAAATTGTGTGTAGGCTACAAAACGTGTGCATGAACGTGTGTAGTTGTATGTCTGTGTGTCCACTTGCATGCATGTGTGCATTATATATGCACATTTGCCTACAGTTATCTTTGCGCATGTGTATGTGCACATGCAATACACAAAGTTATATTTGTCTTCATCATGTGCCTGCAGTCATTTGTGCTTTGGTTTGTTTGCAGGCCTTCTCATTTTGTGTATATGTGTGTGTGGGGTCCAGAGAAAATGAAGTGATTTCTACCATCGACATCCACAGTCATTTATCATATCAAGTCTTTTAAACCTCGATCTAGTGTCCTTCATATATGTTGAAACAAAATACAGTCTTTATTCATCAAAAATGTGTAATTTCTCCCATAAAAACTAACCCTCCATGTCTGAGTATAGTACTGAAAAGAAGACTTAAAGAAGTCAAATCTCCAACAGTCCACTGCTGTTCTCCACTCCATTAGGTGTGCCACTCTTCTCATCTCCATTGGTGATTTGGTCAGTGACAGGATTGGCGGGTACAGCGCTGGTGCTGCTGAGCTCTACGGTCTCTTCACTCCGAGGGTCTGTGTCTCCCTCCGCAGCTACAGCTTTCCCTTGCATTGCAGAATCTGCGTGGGTCTTCTGGTGCTTTGAGAGGTGGTCACTACGTGTAAAACGCTTGTTGCACAGAAGACAGGTGAACTTCTTTTCCCTAGTGTGGGTGCGCACGTGCCTCTCCAATTCGTCCGAGCGAGTGAAACGCTTCCCGCAGAACAGCCAGTTGCAAACAAAGGGCCTCTCGCCGGTGTGCCAGCGCAGGTGGGCTTTGAGGTGGGAGGCCTTACCATAAACCTTACCACACCCTGGGATGTGGCAGCTGTGGACCGGCTTCTTCCTCAGGGATGCAGCAGAGGCTCCCAGCCTCTCCAGCTCCTGGCAGTTGGGGCAGTCACATGAGGATCTAGCAGGTGTAGCCCCTCCGCTGTAGCCCCCTGAACCCCTCGCTGGCTTTAAGCCCATGGGACTCTCAATCAGCCCTGCATTTGGCACAGGCTTGGGCTTGTACATGTCCTGGGGTAACATGTGCTGGGAAGACTGGAGCAGGTGTGAGGAGGAGCCTAGTCCCACAGAAGGGTAAGGAGCTGGGTTGAGGGGGGTAAAGTCGGTGCTGTAACTGGGCAGCTGTGGGCTAAGGGAGGCCTGTGGTGCTACAGGCTGTAGGGAGGTTTGGAGACTTCCATCTGCCTGTGACTGTGTTGCTGACAGCCAATTGGAGTTGGGGTGGACGTCCCACCAGGAGGATGTAGCATTAGCTGGAGCCGCAGTAATGCCAGAGTGGATACCAGCTTTATACCAGGAGCCATAGGGATGAGTCATATCCAGTGAGGTATAGACACTGGTGAGACAGTCAGCTGTAGCATGGGCCTTGGACACTAAAAGAGATGGGTCCTGGGAGACTGAGGTCTGGAAGGAGTGGGAGAAAGGGTTATATTCTGTAGTGTAGCCTCCAACTGAATGAGGGGGGCTTCCAGTCGGGGTAAGCAGCCCACCACCACCTCCTCCTCCAGCTGTAGTGAAGGAGCCAGTATAGGAGTCTGCCAGGCCAGTGCCATCTGTGGTCCGCCCGTTCTTAGCTGTCTGAAGGTCGGAGGTCATGGTGTAGGGCTTCTTTATCGGAGTGCTGCTGCCGGTCTTAGCAGGTGTAGCTGAATCCCTGACAGGGCTGGTGCTGCCAAACTTGTTACAGGTAGCAGTTAACATAGCCAGGGGACTGGAGCCATAGCGTGCGTCTTCCTGGGCAGGAGGAGACAAGGGAGAAAATGAGACTGTCTGCAGGAAATGGCTGCTTGCTACTTGCTACTTCTGTCAGTGTCAACTCTAATAAAAAACGTATGTCTGACTGCCCCTGGTGGCTTTTCCTGCTCTCTCTGCTTTCAAAGTGGTCAGGGCAATTTAAAGCAGTCAGTGTTTATGCTTGTGCTCTTTTCAGCAAAGGACAAATTCCCTTGCTCTTATGTTTCACTTAAAACACAGCCTACAAGCCAACGTACATGCACATTAACATACATTACATACTCAAGCATCTTGGCACTGCACTCTGTGATTGTGTCTCAGTTATAGCAGACAGATAGTTTGTCAAACTTTTTTTTTAGTGGTCACCAAGCATGATACATTGTGTTACAGCGGCCTCACCATTGTCCTCTTTATATCCTGACAGATTTAGATGTAACCATTGTCTGTATTTGTGATCAAGTCAGTTGTCAATTTTTGCCATGCGTTTCCTGTAAACATTCAAAATGTTCTTTTCAGGAAACAAAACATTTCAAAACACCTTTGAAGTCCACTAATTCTTGAGATAATTGACTGAAACACACAACTGAAGGAATTTCCCTTATTCTGTGCAGTACTTTTTTATTCTAATATTTCCGTTTCCATGTGACAGATAAATAACACCATAGCCACATCAGAGGTGCTGGCTTTGCTACTCACTGTATGGGTGAATATCTTTATATTAAACATCACAGTAATACCCTTCTATAGAACCTTGTGGTGTTTCTACACTAATAGTGGCTTTGTAGTTTGTAAGCCTCTGTCTTTATCTCTTGTGAAATCACTGTAAGCCACTTCTGATAACTGTGAATAAATATGTTAAGAAAGTAAACTTTTTCACTGTAGGTGGACACCTTTTTATGTAAGTTTAAAAATTTACAGAAAGAAATCATCTCACAAATGATCACCTCCCATAAACCCTGGTCTTTCCATGCAGACTGACTTTCCACTCAAAGAGTTTGAGTCGTTCTTTACAACAAACCCTGGTGTCAGCCCTTTGCATCTGTTTGATAGTTCCTGTTTTCAGGTTAATTATGTTTCATCACAGACTTTTAAAGATATTTTATAGCTCCTGCAGTGTCAGCCCTGTGACAGACTGGCGACCTGTCCACAGTGCACCCCGCCTCTCGCCCAGTATCAGCTGGGATTGGCTCCAGCACTGCGCGCAACCCTCTTCAGGATAAGAGGTATAGATATTGGATGGGTGGATTAATCCCACAGTCCCTGTTCGCTATCTTAATTTCTAGCTTCACCCGCCACTGACAACAGTAAAGCTTTTGCAACCATGTGAGAAAATACGTTATTAAATGTTTATAATATTCTACTTGCTCTTGGAATTAATATAGAATGAATATGCCAAGAGGAAATGTAAATCCCGAGTGTACACAAAGATGAACAGAGGATAAAATGTGAGTATTAATGGGTCACGGTACTGAGCTAAACTCTGCAATAAGCAGCTTAACCGGACGCTGCTTTTAATCACTTCCCATAAAGACTTCAGGTCTTTCTTCATTAATGCAAATGTATACTTTTCATTATCCTGTTACAGAATAGTTTTATAGTCAGTCATATAGCTTATTATCTTTCAGACGCCAGATTCAATTTGAACTCCAGGGTCATGTTTCCCCAGTTCCACTTACAACTGCACGACTTTATTATAAACTCTAGCTGGAAATTCAACAAGTGTGTATGACGGAAAAAGAAGAAGTAACAAATTTACTTACAATTACATTCCCTACCTCCAGAATAGATGCGGCCATCCCTGAGAAACAAATCCTAAGGAAGCTGAGGGCGTGGAAGGAGCGCGGCTCTGAGTCCCGGGACGCTTTGGGAGAAGTTGGGCTCTAACGCGGGGAAGTGTTTTGAGGCAGGGGGAGCCCGCCCCCCAATTACAGGCTCTGGACTTTTTGAAGACTCGCTAAGAAGCAATAACAACCCGAGGATGGAGGAAAATAGATGGAGATTGGTGGATAAAAAGGACATCCCACCTCCCGATGCAGAGAGTGTCGAATAATTTTTCGAGATAAATGCATGAATGGGTTGCTCATCAATCACCATATGGACATCATTTCAGTTTCACTGGCGTTATTTTTTTCCCACTGAGAGTTTGAGGCAAAAGAGAACCCTTAACAATATCTCACAGAGTCCAGCAGGGTTTCTCCTGGGGATAACAGACTTAGACGTAATGTGAATTTAATGCTGTTAGACACATTTCTATAGGAGAACCGTAAATAAAAAGTGAAACATCGACTAGGCAATTTCCGGTTTCCCCTTTGAAGGGAAAAATAACAAAAGAACGTGTAACCTCGACCCACGCCAAATAAATCACAAAGATTAAGCTGACTGAGTCTGTGGCTTCCATCAGAGATTTTATTGGTCTGTTTTCAAAACCTCCCTCTGTTTCCAATATTCTTAAGTACAGTTAACTGCCTTTTTAAACATTAACCGTGATGGTTTAAAGGCTGAACTATAGAGACAAGCGAAGAAGAAAAGCATCAAGTCATTAAATCAAATGAAGAAGAGATTATCACGTCAGATAAAATGAACTGACATGGTGAATTCAAGGGTGGGAAGGACTCGGAGCGTCCTTTGCTCAAGTTAAAGGAGGAAGAAGTGAAATCTGAAAGCAGGTAGAACTATACAGTCCTGCCAAAACCATTTCAGAACAATTCAAATATCTTGTTATTATTCATTTTCGAGTCTGGAATTAAAATCTGTCAGAGGGAAATCTGAAAGTATTGGCCTACTTTTCCTGACTGACCAATTTAAAATACGTTTTGTTAGCAGTGGTCTTCCTGTCCGTTAGACTTTATGTGAACCCTTATAAAGTCATGACAAAAATCATAACTTCACTAAACACTTTCAAGCTGCATAAAATTATTCAACTTGACAGTTTCTTTAGATCCTAGTTAATTAGCCTACATTCAACAACTATGACAAAACCACCAAAGCATGACTGCTTTGTTGGACTATACAACCTTTTTATTGCAGAAATCTACTTCTAACAAAAAGATCATTATAGAAGTACATACAAATATATATGGTATAATGCCAGTGTCACAACCATCTTCTTTTTTTTTAGAGAATGAATTATTGAAAAAATATTTGAAGACCTGAAGTTATATTTATAATGAGTAAAATAGACTTATCTCAGAGTTTTAAACTATTTAATATGTTCTTATTTAATTGTGTGATGCATATGGGCTGAATATATCTTTCAATAAAAAATTCACATTTATTTGCTGTAAGACTGTGTACTTTTTAAAAATAGATTTCATCCATTTCTTGAAAAAGTCAAAAAAAACTCGGCGTTCAGCCTCAAGTAAACGATTCTCAGCGCCTTTTGTGGGAGTCTCATTTTCTGAAGGATAGCACAGAAGGTTAATATTGTTGTCAAAAATAAACATATAATTTCTGTCCTTATTTTCTCCTTAATTACAGGGCATGGTCAGAGCTGGGCTTGTCGCTCTGGAGAGTCTGGCCCTCACATGAACACAGCGGCTATATTTGGCAGTCTGCTCTCCAACTGACCTTCAGTGCTTTATTTTCTTATTCCAGAATGGGTGTGAGTAGAAGAACAAAGACTGCTACATGCGGCAGTTTACACTCTTACACTCCTACAGGATTGTACTTGCAGTCATATGAAACTCACCTCAAACTGAGGACAAAGTGTCACAGAAAGCAGATGTTGAGGAGTTATGATCCACATATAGTTAAACTAGTAGTTGAACTACATTTTGCAGCGGTAGTTCAGCTACATTCATATTAGCATAAATAACTTATTTGTGTAGTTAACTACTGAAACTACAAACAAATTTGGGCCACGAAAGGAAAGAAATTATGTTTTATTTTTATTTTACGCTACCATTCTGTGCATGTGGGCAGCTTTTCAGCAGCACTGGCAAGACGTTTTCAGTGCCAAGCAGAACCACCTGTTGGATAAGAACTTTGAGACTGTTCATGTATTGTGACTGTTCAACAGATTCTTTAATTAGTCCATTATTTAGTCCAGTGTTCATGCTGTTCATACTATCTCAAAAGGTACAAGTTGTCAGATGTTACAAAACTGACAAGCAAGACAACCACTGCTCAAGTTGGTCAAATAGGTGCATAATCAATCTTTTAGTTTTAGTCACATAATACAAAATCCAGATTAGTTTTCAATTAAAACACTATATTCTTTGCGATGTTGCCCTTGTGAAAAGCATATACAGTACAGGATTGTTTTATTCAGGACAGGTTTAGGTCTCAGGCCATAAATTCAGCTCAATGGCATTTTTGCTGGCATCTGACTTTATTGTACCTTATTTTGTTAAAATTTTGTATCACATGTACATTGTCCACTTGATCATTTAAATTTTAACTAAGTATTTTGAACTCCTTTTGCCAAGTAGCTTTATTTATAGATCTCTCCCAAGTGCAGCTTTGCTTTAGTTCAGTTTTTTTCTAGTGTGCAGTAACTGGTAGCTGGCGAGGTAGAGTAGCTTCCCCAACATTGCCTATAGGCATACTACACTGGGTCAAAATCTTTTCACGCATTCTGAGGCAGTTCTTTCCCCTCTCATTTGTCACATGGTCTGCTAATAGTAGTTTTTAACTGAACTGTTCCTTTTTTTAGTGTTTGTTAATGCCTCATGTTTTACATCTAAGTAAATGAGGGGGGAGGCAAAAAGGTCCTGTATTATTGAAAGTGGTCTGCAATGGGCTGCTTTTCTTTAAGTTTTACGATGTGTAATTTCAAATTTTGACATGTTCATTTACGGTTTTTATGGCATTAATAAATTGTTAGGTGGTTGATTCAAAAGACAGTGAGATCTATAATTAGGGAATACGTTAAGTTCTTAACAACCCCTTCAAAAAGCTTTCTCTGCTCTGTCTACTCTTTTCTGCCTTGTGTGGTTCAGATACTGTATTTGGGTACAAACAGTAGGCATTACAGGCATGATGAACTTTGGGACATTGGGTGGGCACAATTATGTTCCCCAGGGTTGATTGTATGTTTAGTATGGATGGTTATTGTCCATATGACAGTGATCAGATGTATTAGTAGTTCAAGCTATTTGTAGTATTCTCTCATTAGCTTATATCCATTTGAATGCAACAAGTGCGATTGCTGAATTGCACTCATAGAATTCTGGGTAAATTATAAGGACCTCAGTGCTGGGAGCTCAATTAACCAGATATACCATTTTGCACATGTAATTATTTTAATTCTTGCAATGGAAGCTCCTGTTTTGATGGGGTGTAGGCATTTGTTCTACTGTTTGAACCTCCTTTACACTAATGTGACATGACTTCTTCAAAAGTCTGGATTAAAGAGCTCAACCCTTGTTTCAACTCTGGCATAAGCAAAGCAAACAAAAGTTAAGACAATAAGTGCTTCATTACCAAAGCTGTATATAGGCATACACAGTATGTGTGCAGGTTCTACAGTAGATGATTACAATTCTCTGACCTTTTGTCTGTGATTGTTATATACATTTTTCAGAATCACCAAGAACAGACAGTTTTAACTCTGCATATCGACATACACAAGTTTCAGTTTTTTTTTTAACTACTTTTTAAATAACATAGACTTTCTCCATTATGTTCACCAGTGGTCAACCTTTCTGTGCAAACCTTCTAGCTGAGCCGTGTCACTCTGGCGAAACTTCTTCTGGTTGCACAGCTTCATAGAAAACCACTCCCAGTGATGAGTTGACTGAAGCAATGGCAGTGACTGTACACTCACTGTTTACACTGATTGCACCCAAGTCTTCTGAAAAAAGAAAGTACCCCTTGATGCCACATGGTTCATATTGTGTTGGTGGACAGCTGAACAGGAAGATGGTGAGAGTCAAAATAGCACAAGCTTACAGCTGTGTGTGCCAACAGGGCTCAGGTTTGTGAAAGGGCATGAGAGGACAGAGGTGATGAAGAAAAGAAAGGCACAAGTAATGAATCATATATACATACAGTACTGTACCTCTGTTAGTTGAGCTAGGTATTACATCTCAGCACTTTTTGAATGCTACTGACAACTGTAAGGAACAGAAAGTCTTATATATATCTGGTCACATTCTCATTTGTGTTTGCTAAATTGTTAACCAAATATTTACAGATTACTGTAAACTTGTAAAGAAACCCACCTGATTGAAAATATAATATAATAATAATAATTTTAGACTATATTTAAATTAAGTTCATATTTAATGTTAAGAAAGCATTAAATACAAGTGTAATTATTGTGTTGAACACAAATAAGTTTTGTAGAAAACCCTTTTAATAATCATTATTCTAAAGTGTCAAAAGAAACATATACCTGTAACATGTTGCATATTAAATATGACATTTATACATATTACATTATACCTGTATTGAAGAATTTCAAGCAACACCTGGCACTTAATGTTATTGTGACTGTCAAGTTTTATTTTTTAGTAGTTTTTTATTGACGTTTTACTACTTCACAGCAGTGTGAATCATTTCCATGCTCATACTTTTCATTGTAAAACAATAATAATTTCAAAATTATGTCTTTCTTTGTAATAAGTACCCAAATCATTTAAAAAAGTATAATCAAATAAAATACAACTAATGCTTATACACAGGTAAACTTTTAGACCCTTTTTTCCAACTTAAGAAAACATTTAAAACACCAATAGGGTACCTGTACTTGAGTAGAAAATTTCAGCAGTCTTTCAAGCACTGCGGGCAAGCAGTACTCCCTACAGCATACCTGAGTACTAGCAAGTTTTCCCAGCAGGCATTTTTCTTGCAATAGTACTGAAAGGTTTGCTGGATGATTCGTATTGGTGGTAACACAAAAGCACAACAGCAGTACAAACGCATGAGATGAAATGTAGATGTTTGGTTTTTAATGCA